TAATTATTTTTCTCTATTTTATTAGTTTCTGTTTTTATTTTTAGTATTTCCTTCTTTCTACTTTTTCTTCCTTTTCCTAGTTTAATATGTGAAACTCTGCATAAATTTTAAGACTTTCTTATTTTCTTATAAGCATTTAAATCCATTCTGATGCTACTAAAAGCTTTGATATATAGCATTGTCTTTGATTTTCAGTTTAAACATTTCATAATTTCCATAATTTTAACAAATAAGTTACATAAAAAGTGTTTTAGTTTAATCCATTTTAGCTTTATTATTGATTTAAAATTGTATTGTATTATGATACAAAAGTGGGATGTGTATAATTTAGATTCTCTGAAGTGTGTTGAGACTTTTGAGTATCTGTAAGTAAACTTTCAAAGAATATTTTTTATTGGTTTGGGCTCAGGATTTTACCCACAGATGTACTATCAGCCCAAACTTATTAATATTCAAATGTTCTCTATTGTTATTCTTTTTCATGATATACTAGTTTCAAAAAGATATGTTTAAGACAACTACAATTGTCTCCTTTTGATGTCATTTTTCTTTTTAATACTTCCCATTTTTCCTTTACATATTTTGATTTTTGTTAGATGTATACAAGTTCATAATTGTTCTTTTTTATTAAATTTTGCTTTGTTCAATGATACCATGTCCATCCATAGACTCAGGAACACTTCTGGCTAAGTTCCACATTATCTGATACCAGTATTGCTCCAAAATCTTTGTTGTAATATGTGTTTGCCTGTTATTTATTTTTCTATCCTTTTATTTTCAACTTCACAGTTTGTTTTTGTCTCACTTGTATCTTTTTTAAATAGCATATTGCATGACTATGCATATTAACCATTATAAAATTTTTTCTCAAATAAATTTAGTCCATTTTACATTTATTGTAAATTGCTGATATATTTCATCTAAGTTATGCCAGTTTTATTGCATTTTCTATTTACCAGGTTTTGCTCTTTTATTTTTTAAATCTTCTTTCCTACTTTCTATTAGATTGCTAGATTTTGTTCCTTTTGCTTTATCTGTTTGGTAGCTTTTGTTTTCTTCATCCTTACATTTGTAACATGCATACTTCTTGATTTTTGCAAAAAAAAAAAAACAAACAAAAAAAACCTAATCAGTATCTTTTTCTTCCTCCAAGAGTAGACAATAGCCTCTTCAGACTATCTTCCCTGTCAATGTCTTCCATATAGTATGATTTAAAAAAAATTTTTTTAATGTTTATTTTTGAAAGAGAGACAGAGTGTGAAAGGGAAGGGGCAGAGAGAGGAGACACAGAATCTGAAGCAGGCTCCAGGCTCTGCTGTCAGCAGAGAACCCAATGCAGGACTTGAACCCACGGGCTGTGACATCATGACCTGAGCCAAAGTCGGATGCTTAACCAACTGAGCCACACAGGTGCCCCTATAGTATGATTTTTAAAAACAAAATTTTATACAAAATTGACTCCTTTATAAATAGCTTTAAAAAAATGTCAGCATTTTCTCTGTTTATAATTGTTTGTCATAGCCTGTGCCTTCTTCTCCTTAATTCTTGCCCAAGTATAATCCTTTAGTCATTCTTAAGGTCCTATATGTGTGTGAAAATGTCTTTAAGCCCTTTATGAATTAAAATACCTTTACTTCACCCTCAATCGTGAGAGTTTAAGTATACAATTAACATTTCTTTTCTCTCAAGATTTTGAAGATTTGTTCCATTTCCTTCTGGCATTTCTTATTGTTGATAACAATCTGCTATTAGTTTGATGGTTCCTAAGTAAATATGGCTTTAAGATTTTCTCTTTATCCTTGTATTCTTCATTTTAATTATGATGTATCTGGGTTTAAGATTAACTTCGTTTATCTTGCTCACGACTCAAGATTTTCCATTCTGTGGACTCATATCTTTCTTTAATTATAGAAAATTCTTCACTTTAACTGCTATGAATATATCCCATTTTTATAACTACCTCTATACTTATCTAACAAACTATAGTCTCTCCTTTTTTTTATTTTTTATTTAAATTTTAGTTAGTTAACATACAGTGCAATATTGGTTTCAGGAGCAGAATTCAGTAATTCATCACTTAATATAATACCCGGTGCTTCTCACAAGTGCCCTACAGTCTCTCCTAAGATTACTATCAAATATATGTAAAGATTCTCCTCTCATCTTTCTGGCCTGTTAACTTCTCTTTTGTCTATCTCGTCTTTATTAATTAAGTTAGTCTGTGACCTTGTAACAGATGAATCTTAAAATCTCAGTGGTTCTATTCATAAAATTCTTTTATTATGTAAAATCAGGGATGCCTGATTGGTAGTTGGCTCTCCTCTCAGCAATGACTTAAGCAAGCAAGTTCATCTTTTTTTTTAAGTTTATTTATTTTGAGAGAGAGAGAGAGAGAGAGAGAGAGAGAGAGAGAGGAAGAGAACCCATGTAGGGCAGACAGAGAGGGAGAGAGAGAAAATCCCAAACAGGCTCCTCACTGTCAGCACAGAGCCGGACGCAGGGCTCAAACTCAAGAACGATGAGATCATGACCTGAGCTGAAATCAAGAGTCAGATACTTAAGCGACTAAGCCACTCAGGTGCCCCCAAGAAAGTTCATCTTATCCTATGTATTTCCACCATTTTCAACTAACAGCTTCTAGGTTTATCACATCTGTCTTAAGTGAGCACAGGAGAAGAAGAGTAGACAGCATGAGTGGGAGGGTTTTATGGGGAAGCCTGGATGTTATTGTACATATCACTTTGACAATTACATTGGCTACAACTCAACAGTATAGCCCCACCTAACTGCAAGAGAATCTGGGGGAAATAGTTTAACCGTGTTGTATTAGTTTTCTTTCGCTACTGAAACAAATTACCACAAACTTAATGGCCTAAAACAACACAAATTTATTATCTTAGTTCTACATGTTAGAAATGTGACACATGTCTCACTGGGCTAGGGTGTCAGCAGGGCTGCACTGCTTCTGAAATTCTAGGAGCAAACCTGTTTCCTTGCTTTTTCAGTTTCTAGATATTCCTTGCTTCATGGTCTCCCATTCCCCATCTTCAGAACTAGCAAAAATTAACCAACCCACACCCACACAACACTCTAGCCTTTTTCCATTGTCATGTCTTTTTCTCTGACACCTTTTAATCCCCTGCTTCCAATTTTAAAGACTCTTATGATTCCATTGAGCCCACACAGATAATCCAGGATAATATATTTCCCTATTTAAGGTCAACTGATTAGCAACCTCAATTCCATCTGTAGCCTTAAATCCCTTTTGCCATGTAGCCTAACATATTCAGGTTCCATGGACAGGGATTAGGACAGGGACAACTCGGGGGGGGCCGTGGGGATCCTATCCACCACATATGTGCCTTGGAGAAAAAGGAAATTATTTGGTGAACAGCAAAGCAATCTCTATCACACTATCTCCTTATTTCTCGATACTCATTCCTGGATGATTTCCCTCATATTTACCATTCATTAATTCTTTCTTCAGTTCAGTCTATTTTCTTTGTTTTCTCACCTAATGATTTTCTAATTTAATGACTGTATTTTCTATATCTGCTATTTCCATTTTGCCCTTTATCAAATGTATTTGCTCCTGATTAATGCTTTCTTAAAGCTTTATGGATTCCATTCCTTCTTTCACATCTCCAAATATACTAAACACACTTGGTTAAAAATTCCTTTTGAATTCCCCTTTTTATATGTGTTACCCCAACTGTTGTGGCTATCAGTCATGTCATTAAGTCTCTTCAAATGTATTTTAACTTTAGTCTGTGAGTTCATTAGTTACCACTTGTTTGAATTCCTCATAAACTTCCCATTGTTGTAATAATCCTATTAATGCATAGATTTCATAGGTTAGTTTTTATAACTGTTTCTGCATTCATAGTTTCTTCCCTACATGAATGTAGGGAAACTACATGAATGGTTCAAATGTAAGCCTTATACCTGAACTTGGCTTACCCTGAGAGTTTTACAATTGCTAGAGACTCAATTTCCAGCCATAGCCTGGTACAAATAGATCACTTCCTGACAAACCCTGACAAACAGATCTAGATTAATGGTGCCTTTTTCACAGATAGTGCTTATGTGAGCCTTAGATATACAAGATGGCTAGTTCCAGGTTCTTCCAAGGCATGAGGTCTGTGGCCTTAATTTTCACTCCTGATTATGTGTTGAAAACCCAACCTCTCAAAAAGATACATGGGTGATGAAACCTCTTACTCGCTATTGAAATTATGGGCTCCCTCTTGATATAGGACTCTTGGAGACTTCTCTTACTAGTTTTCAAGTTAAGCTTCATATTTTAAAACTTTAACAAATACTGTGCCCAACTTTTCCAAGTGATTAGAGGAGAGGGTGAAATATCTATCTTGATAGCAAGCAATGCCCGTTTCCCTGCCCTGACTCTTTATCTTCTAATATCTAGAGATGTCCTGATTTTGTTTTCTTGGTATTAAACATCCCCACAGGAAACAAATGATTTTTGAAAAAAGTAGAGACCCCTTGTTGAAGCTATTAAGTAGCAATAGTTTGCTGCAAAGATCTTTCAAACAAAGGGGAAAAAAGAGAAAGAAAACTGAGATAGAAGAGGAGGAGAAAGATAGGTAGAGAAGGAAAACAGAACAAAAACAGCAGGATCTGGAAAGAAGAAAAACAAAGAGGCAGAAAAGTTTCCATGGACTAAGAAACTAGCAATCCCCCTAAACATTGTTATTCTCTTACTAGGAGAACTTAAAAGATAGGTTGCGGAGGTCTTGCAATCCTACCCTACCATAAGAGTATTACTGAGGAAATACACAAAAGCCTAAAATTTATAACCCAAAACGAATCCTTAAGTGGATATCCATCTGCCCACAACACTGCATTGCACCTGATCATAGAAAATGGGATGTGACCCATGGCAGTCTTCTTTCCCACAACCTCTTCCTTATATAGTAGCTGTGGAATCTGAAGTTCTCCCTGAAACACAAATATCTCATTCTTACTTTGTTTTCTTTTAGCACTGTCTCAATCAAGTATTGGTAAGTTCCTTTACTTTTCTCCAATTCAATTCAAGGTGCCCCCAGGTTTAAATGGCAACAATGAAGATATCTAATCCCCTACCTCCTTGAGCCACCACTGACACTCAGGGGTTGGTGCTCCCAGGGGTTCCCTATTTTGATACTCCCCAAATCAAAAACAGCAACAAAAAATGCCAAACAGCCAGGAGAACAAAGGGGTAAGTTCCTTTTCTGTTTCTCAATTCTATTCTCTTTGGTGTATCACAGACATGGGGATCATGTCCTAACTGTGGTTAGCCTTGTCCCTCATCTTCTTTTCCTTCTCCATCATTGAACATTTTACTTGAAATTAACGAGAGCTTTAGAAAATAAAAGGTCCATTGATTAAGAATGAAGAGAGAATTCAAATGGTTTTAGCTGGCTACAATGATTTCAGCAAAACAAAATATCTTCTTTCACTCAGAAACAAGAGGAAGGAAAGAGGTTGTTAAAAGGGCAGAGAATGGAAGAAAAGAGGAGAGTTGTAATTCAAAAAGCCATGTTTGTTGAGTCTATATTTACCGGTATTAGAGATGAGAAAAGTGAAGTTCAAGGACATTATCTAACCAAAAGGCACATAGCTCATAGAAAGTAAAATTGAAGTTCTAAACACTGACTTTTCGACTCTAAATCCCATGCTTGTCCAACTACCCCCAGGACACCATTGAAAATATTTAATTTTTCAGGGGCACTTGGATGACTCAGTTCAGTTGAGCATCCTACTCTTGATTTCGGCTCAGGTCATGATCCCAGGGTCATGGGATCAAGCCCTGCCTCAGACTCCATGCTGAGCATAAAGCTTGCTTAAGATTCTCTCTCTCCCTCTGCACCCCCTCCCAGTTCATGCTGTCTCTTAAAGAAAATTAATTTTTCAATTTAAAGTTATCTTCCTGAAATAAAAAGTCTCAAGAAATTTAGGATATTATGCATATATGAAAAAATGTTACTTCAATTTTTAAAACATAATTCAAAATGCAAAAAATGTGAATTAATCTGAATCTCAAAATTATTTTGCTAGTCTACTACTGTGGCATAACTGCATCCCATGAATGAGGCTGTTTTATTACATATATATGTAATATGTATATATTTATACATATTACATATATATGCCATATATATATATACACACACATATATATAGTATGGGATCAAAAAATTGACATTGTTCAGAGGGCTGCAAGAGACACAATATTTTATTTTATTTTTATTACTTTTTAAAAGTTTATTTATTTTGAGAGACAGAGACAGAGCGCTAGTGGGGGAGGGGAAGAAAGAGCAGGAGACACAGAATCCGAAGCAGGCTCCAAGCAATGTGATGGGATTTTAGACAGTAAGGAAGAAAATCAAATTAGGAGTTATACTAATCATTATGATAATATACTTCTTAAGATGAGAATTATCCTCTGATGGTAAATAAGGTAAATAAATATGTGATACATATTGGGTTTAATCTCAGAGGAAGGGAGTAATTAGTTATTATAAATAGTATTTAGCTGAAAGATGCATGGGGCCATTCATCCCTGAAGTTCAATAGGCTGTGTGGTTCTACAGGATGAATGAGGCCCTCCTGAGATGTACCTATACAGGCATACATAGATAAGGACTGCAATTCGAAACAATAATATAAAAATATGTACAGAGTTTATGTGCCAAGCTGTATCCTAAGCATAACAATCCTATGAAGTAGATATTATTATACATCTTGTATTTAAAATGAATAATCTTAGGCACAAAAACGTCAAGTAACTTGTGCAAGGTCACACAGCTATAAGGTAGAGGAACTAGGATTCAAATCCAAGTATTTTAGCATCTGATCTCCCACTGTACTTCATGAAAACTAATCAGGACCCCCTTTCTGTTAAATCAATTAATCCAGACTCCTGTGGATTTTTGTTATTATTCTTCAGCGTCGACTCCAGAAATGGTATTTAAGTCTCTTTCTATTTCTCAGTTCAGGAAAGAGAAATGTGAGTAAGCAGGAGGTCAAAATAAAGGAGTATATAAGGCAGCTAATGAAGGTTTAACCAAGACCTGGGTCTTCTGAGTTCCCTTAAGAGTTTCAATCTTCACACAGGCTGAAAAGAAAGAGTAAATGGCCTCCCTGCTCATCACCAGTCCTACAAGTCTTTCTGCGCCTCCATCACAGCACCAAAACACAGTACCCTTACACTATCCATGACTAAATCACACCGCAGGTGGCATAGAGGATTTGGTAATTCCTGGAGATGCCAGTGTGAGAGCTTCTCTCTGAAGCTTCTCTTCAAAGGGTATTAATTCTGACGACTTTAAGCAGAAGACCTCAGGAATTTATCTGTGTGTCCATTTAGTAGTTTACTAGGGAACCGAGCACGTCCTGATTGCTTCTCTGTCATGAAACCTTGGTATCTGGAGGCTTTTACCCTGTCTTCTCTCTCCTAGGCAGGCCCTAAATTTAGAATGTGAGCCCCATGGAGCACCTGAGTGGCTCAGTCAGTTAAGCCTCTGACTTTGACTCCGGTCATGATCTCACGGTTTGTGAGTTGCATCCCGGTGTCAGGCTCTGTGCTGACAGCTAGGAGCTTGGAGCCTGCTTCGGATTCTGTCTCTCTCTTTCTCTACTCCTCCCCCACTTGTGCTCTGTCTCTCAAAAATATATAAATGTAAAAAACAAATTTAGAATGTCAGCCCTTTTGCTTCCCCATTATCCTAGATTTTATCAGCTGAGGCTGAAAGACCCAGGAATAACAAGACTACAGTGTGTGGATTTAGACTAATTGAATCATTAAAAGTTGGGCTTAACAGAGCATTGTTAAACCCTGTTGTTTTAGAGATTAGTTAAATAAGGTCCCCAAAAGATGATGGAAATGATCAAAGATCATACTTTAAATTGGAGCAATTTAACCTCCAACGTAAGACAAATAAGGCAAATGCTTCCTTCTTTCATTCTTTTTTTTCATCCTTCCTTCAATAAATATAGTGGGGTTCATTCAATAGTAGTCTATATTTCTGTACTGTCATAATTTTTATTAAAAGTTACACAAATCTTCCCTATTATTTAGATCACTTTATAAGAGGAACACTCTAGAGATTAATAAAAAGAACAGAAAAAAATTGGGAGAGTCAATATGTAGGAAAGAAGTTAATTTACTTCATAAAGGAATATTCCAAAAGGAACAGAAAGAGAAAACTGTGTGAGGTACAGAGGAAAGTGCACTGAACCAAAGTCAGAAAAATTGGAGACTAAAACTGCATATAATTTTTATTAAAAAATTTTTTTCTGATGTTTATTTTTGAGAGAGAGACACACAGAGTGTGGGGGGGGGGCCCGGGGGGGGCCCAGAGAGAGAGGGAGACACAGAATCTGAAGCAGGCTCCAGGCTCTGAGCTGTCAGCACAGAGCCTGACACGGGGCTCAATTCCACGAGCCATGAGATTATGACCTGAGCCAAAGTCGGACACTTAACTGAATGAGCCACCCAGGCACCCCATAAATGACTGCATATAATTTTTAGCACACTCAGCCACAGACCTTCTCTTCTCCCAGCCTCAGTTTTCTTTTTTTATAAAATTAGAAATTTTTTTTTTAGAGTGAGAGAGCACATGCAAGTGGGGGCAGGAGAGGGCAGGAAGGATGTGGGGGGTGAGAGAGAGAGAGAGAGAGAGAGGGAATCACAAGTAGGCTCCATGCTCAGCACAGAGCCTGATGCAATCTCCAGGCTGGATCTCATGACCCTGAGATCATGACGTGAGCTGAAATCATGTGTCAGATGTTTAACTGGCTGAGCCACCCGGAAGCCCCAAATTGGAACCTTTCTAACATTGCCTTTCTTTGGTTCTTGAAGCTATTACATTATGGAGAGGAGATTTTCCAAACTGAGAAAAGAAAGAATGAGGGAGAAATGGAAAATAGGGGAAAGAAAAGATGCTGAATGAAATCAGAATATTGAAAATACAGTAAACCTGGATTCTCTCCTGACCACTTTTACTCCTGGAATAGTGTCCAAGGGGGAAGAAGGTTCAAGACCTGCAAGCGTGGTAATAATCCATGTGCCTATGGGGGAATGGAGGGTCTAAGGTGTCCTGAGGGTACAATTTCCAGAAAGACTCCTGGGAAATGGGTGGATTACTTAAACCATTAACTCTACTGATCTGAATATTTGTTACTGTTCTTTAGCTTTGGTGCAAGGATCCATGAGTAAGTTTTTCTTTTCCTTTCAAAATCTGGTATTGTAGGGCTCCCACACTAGGCAGAGGATGTCTCCCTGTCTTATTTGTTCCCTGGTATGTCAGAGTGGCAGGGCTTGAAGCTCATCATTCTCTGCCTTCTCCTTCATTAGGTATCTTACCTACGTCAGGCGTACCTGTCTCCCCTTCTTGTCTTGAAGCAAATTCCTCCACTTATGTCCAGTTATGGGACCTCATCTCCCAGCCCGACCTTCTCTTCAGCAGTCACAGCTTCTCCCTTCTATATCTTTGTATTTTCCTCTTCCAGTAATTCCCTCTCCTGAAAGTATAGAGCAGGTTTGGTTTTCTTCCACCCCAAACAGATCCTCCCTTGACTCTGTGTCCCTCTCTAACTACAAGCCCCCCAGGCCCACAAAGAAGGAAATTATGCTGTTTACTTTGGCTGTGGGCTTGGGAATAAGTTACTGTTTCACCTCTACTATTGAAAAAATGCATTATTTCTCCATGAATTGAGAGTGGTACAATAAGACTTTTAAAAAACCACTTTAAAAATAAGCCTGCTTACTTATTAATGTATTATAAATAAACAGAGAGACTGTTACATAACGCAGGTTCTGGAGCCAGGCCGTCTGGAATTGCATTCCAGCCCCCTATTTACTGGTTCTTTGAACACAGGCAAGTTATTTAGTCTTTCATTAAGCTTTTATTTTTTTTTTTTTAAATTTTTTTTCAACGTTTATTTATTTTTGGGACAGAGAGAGACAGAGCATGAACAGGGGAGGGGCAGAGAGAGAGAGGGAGACACAGAATCGGAAACAGGCTCCAGGCTCTGAGCCATCAGCCCAGAGCCCGACGCGGGGCTCGAACTCACGGACCGCGAGATCGTGACCTGGCTGAAGTCGGACGCTTAACCGACTGCGCCACCCAGGCGCCCCTCATTAAGCTTTTAAATTCAACAACCAATTGAAAAACTAACAGAACAGAACACAGATGTGAGTAAAAATAGAAGACATGAATACAGAAGGAAGAAAACTCAAGATAACGCTTAAATCAGTCTCCTGGAACTGATTTCCACTTACTGCCAAACCGAGATGAACACATTTTCTAAACAAATGAAGAGTGAGAGAGGAATGAGGTACAGAAAAGTAAGGCAATCAGAGAAGATCACACACACACACACACACACGCACACACACACACACACAAATTCAGAAGCGAGAAACAATCCTGGTTGGACAGATTTTTTTCTTCTAAGTTTATGTGCTTCTGATAAAATTTTTCATATTGAATATTTACTTTTGGTCATACTTACAGCAAGCAAAACTGTTTCTTGTTCAAAGATAATAATTTCATGATTTTCTCCAAAAAGTATCACAACTTCCAGGTGCTTCACAACCTCAACAGGTTTGTCAATCACAGGTGTGAATTAAATGTGACCCAACCAATACCTGTGATTAAATTAATGGAAAAAAAGGGATTCATTTGGTCTATCTCAGCTCAGCCACAGCCTGTGGTGACACTGATCTCACACCACACTGTTGTGGAAGAATGTAGGGTGCGTACTTAAATCCCTTCCTTTTTCAAAGTAAAGCTCCCAAACTGGCAATCCATTGGTCCAATGCCACCTGTATATTGGCTGACCAATAAAGCATTATTTTAAATCTTGCGTTTGAATGATTCTAGATAGGGTATGCACTTTTCAAATGACCAACTTCTTTACTACCCTGTATATAGCTGACAGATTCACAATTCAGGAGACTTGCTGAGGCAACAGAGCATACGACCCCCTGTGTTTTATAAATTATCTCTATTTAGTAGTGGGAATGGCTGTATGCTACCTTAGTCTACAATACATAGAAAAGGTTGTATCTCTTCCCAAGTGCTGAGATCTTATCATTTCTGTGAAAAGCTATTATTTTCTTCCAAACATAATAACAAACAAAATTGAGTCATAAATATACAAGAACTATATTTAATTATTTCAAGAGAAATAAATTACATTTTTCAACTCACTAAAAGCTTTCTAAGTGTAATTTTTTTTAAATAATACTTTAGCATTTAAAGAATGCTCAACAAAGAGAAATAAAAGTACATAAAGAAAAGATCTGAATAGGTAAAAGAAGAAAGTGTGGGAAGGAAAGCAATAGGAAGGTAGAATTTCAGTGAAAATCTCCAGAACAGGAAAATGGAAGACCAAAATAGGTTCTGAAAGTCCAAATCATAGTTTCACACATACAGAAAACCTTTGAAATTCCACGGGAAAATTAGCTCATCTCGTAAACAAACTTGTTTCAGTAAAGAGGCTTTCAACATCTTCAAATAAGATTGGTTACTCTCAAGGCAGAAGCAATGGTTCTCAACTGATGTCAAAACTCACTGAAATGTCAGCTTGCGTAACTAAGGTACTGAGGTAACTAAGGAATACCAAAGTATATTTTTTTTAAGAATTGAATCACACAGATTAACAAATAAACAAAGAACACAGAGAAATACTCATGAAAATGCCCTGTCACCAGCATTCAGAACTTTCCAAATGACGGTAAAGAGGGAAAAATAGAGAAAGTAGAAAGTAAACTAAAGCTTAATGCCTTAAACACAGTGAAAACTTTCTACTTTGCAGAAGAGTTTCATTCCTTTGTAGTCCCTGAATATTTCTTTCATAACAATTTTGATAGAACTTTTCAGCTTTCCTATCCATTATTACTCTTGATTTTTCACTGCAGCCATTTGATGTAAGAAAGGAGATATAATTTTCATTTTAAAGATTAGAAAAGTAATGTTCCAAAGTTTAGTGACTTACCTAGTCATAGAGCTACAGAGTAGTAAAGCTGGGACTCTAGTCTTGGATCTTTAACCTCAAGACTATTTGTACCTCACATGTGGGGAGGAGGGAATAGGACTGCCTACATTTCATGCTCTCTGAAAGTCTAAATCTAGATAAGATTATATTTGTCTTTTTTTTTTTTTTTTTTTTGCTTAAACAACAAACATTTATGTCTCATAGTTCTTCGCAATTTTCATTACAGGTAATACAAAAGCCTTCAAAGCAACTTCAGAACCTTTATGTAAGTTTCTCCTATTTCTCAACTCAGTTCTTTTTGATCTTCTACAAAGTGCCTACTATTGGGGGAGTTGCGTGGGGGCTAAGGAGGCACAAAAAAAAGGAAGAGGAAAGGAGAACAACCTACTATTTAACTGTTCTCCTTTGCCTTTACCAGTATGAGGAACCTGAGGCTGATTTCAGGACCCCCCTAAGTAACTGATGATTTTCTTATTTAGCAAAGTGGAAACTCTGCTAATAAAATTAATTAATAAGTGAAAGGAAAAATCCTGTGATTAGATGGAGCTGTTTGTCAAAAACAAATAGTTCTAGAAATATCTGACAACAGAAAGATAGCAAAAATTGAAAACAAGAAAAGTAACTGCAGGAAATATGATCTTATGGGTCTCCTGGGGGGAGGGGGCTTGGTGGGGGAGGGAAAATACTGACTGACCTTCTTACGGCTTTTCATGTAAATGTAATATGTAGTAAATGCTTGACCTGAATCTCCCTGAAATGTACATCCTTCATGCATGCACTCTCCAGACTTACCTTTTTGTGTTTGTGTTTTAGCAGGCAGTGCAAGACCCATAAGTAAGTTTCTTTTCTGTGCTTTAATTCCCATGTGCTTTGCTTTACTACACTGTTAGAATATGTAATATGTAAGACACTCCTATTCATGGATGTTTTTATTTCCTCCTGCACAAATTGCCAATTCTTTTGTCCTTCTTTATTTCCTATTCTTTTTTTAAAGTTTATTTATTTTGAGAGAGATAGAGAAAGAGAGACAGAATCCCAAGCAGGCTCTGCACTGTCAGCACAGAGCCCAATGAGGGGCTCAAACTCACAAAACATGAGATCATGACCTGAGCCTAAGTCAAACACTTAACTGACTGAGCCACCTAGGCGCCCCAATGCTTCCTATTCTTATTCTTTTTTTTTTTTCAACGTTTATTTATTTTTTTGGGACAGAGAGAGATAGAGCATGAATGGGGGAGGGGCAGAGAGAGAGGGAGACACAGAATCAGAAACAGGCTCCAGGCTCTGAGCCATCAGCCCAGAGCCTGACGCGGGGCTCGAACTCACGGACCGTGAGATCGTGACCTGGCTGAAGTTGGACGCTTAACCCGACTGCACCACCCAGGCGCCCTGTGCTTCCTATTCTTATTCTAATAAGCTGGGAGCTTCAGTGAGGAAGTATTATCACTTTTAGTTTTCTCAAAATCTTGAGATTCAATAGCAAAGAGAAAAGTGCTAACAACAAAAGTGGTAGAAAGGTAGGAAGGTCCCTTGCTAAAAATCCCAGTCACACCAAGAGGAAGGGAGCAGTGAGTCCCAGCTCGCTGAGTGAGGCTCCCTAGGCTGCTGTGGATAGTGGTGTGGAATGTATATGCCCTGCTATTAGGCCCTGATGTCAACAAAGAATCAGTCTGGAAGAAGTGTCCAGATTGCATCTTAAAGGACATTACATCAAACATCTCTGGCAGAAGCACTGGTAGAGGACAAAGAATGAGGGATGGGTGAGAAGCAGTTGATTTAGAAAAGAAAAAAAATGATAAATGGACACAGTGATATATAAATGCTCTGACCTTTTACCCATCTGTTAATGGCCTTGCCGCTTAAAGCGGGTCCAAGGATCTGCATCAGCATCACCTTGAAGTTTGTTAGAAATGCAGAATCTCCACCTAATGCCTACCAAATCAGAATCTGCATTTTAACAAGATCCCCAGATGGTTTAGAACCATTACTTTGCAGAGTTTCAATCCTCTGTATGTAGAAAACAAATGTAAAGTTGAGTGTTCTTGATCTAAGTTTAACCAGCTCCTCCATTCCTTCAGATTCTCCACAGGAAGAGTAGCCTTAATGCCAGTGACAAGAAAAATGAAACTCACCAAGGTTTCGTTCATTTCTTAACATATTTCTGTCCATTGCCTCTAAGGACATTCAGACATTGAGCTCCTGGGTCAGAGCCAACACTAAAGGAAGACGAAGAATGATTTGAGGGTTAGAGCTCAAGGCAAACCACACTCTGTGTCTACACCTCCTGGAGCATTTATACACATGAAACATGATTTAAAAAATCAAAAGTCAATCAAGAGCAAACACTGAGCAAGTGTCACTAAAGCACAGGTAGCCCAAGAGATACAGAGAGGTGTCTGTGCAAATGTGTTTGTAAAGGAGAAGGCTGTTATTGCTAAGCATGTGGGTCTAGTTAATGCCTCAATCCCTTTACCCACTAACTTCACCTACAAAAGTCTTGAACCTACCCAAGAGTTTCTATTTCCTCTTATGCTAAGATATTGCAAGCCAAGTTACTCTGATGACTAAGGCAGTCAAAGGTCACCCACAGGAGACAGAAATTCCCACTGTCTCCTTCAGAAGATGAGGCTATAGATTCTGGCTACCCGAGTTCAAATTAGACCAGTTGAAAGAAAGGCAATTATCTATGGAATCTACTGAGTTACAAACAGTGACCCATCAAGACAGGAACCTTGACCACTGCATCCCTCCAGCTCCACCCATCAGATCCCAGTAGTTATGAGGGTCCTCCAAGGTGGGGAATGAAGAATGAAGCTTATTTGCTCCTCTGGTGAAGTAGAAATATTGTTCCTTGTGTCTGTTTTTTATAATGTTTTCCCCAAAATAATTTCAACTCAAACTAAATTTTCTATGCCAAAGAACCATACTAATTAGTCTGTCTTGCTTTTCCCATATTTTAGCTGGAGTCATTGGACCCATAAGTGAGTTCCTTTTCTGTTTCCTAATTCCGACACTCTTTGGTCTTCTGTGAGGTATGGGACCTCTCCTCACCCAAGCTCTTTCCATTTCTAGGCCTTCCCACCCATGCTTCTTGAGTACATTTGAATTACTGATACTTCTAATGCCCAAACCTTCAGGGGGGAAAAAAAAACCCCAGCCTGAACTGACACTAAGTTTAAGACAAAGGAAAACTAAATCATTCATATTTAAAATAACGCCCCAGAAAAAACATTCTCTCAACTATGATAAAAATGATTAAAACAATTATTGTGGACTTTTGCTAAACTGAAGGTAATGCTACAAGAAGAGCAAGTGGTTCTAGAAGGTGAAAGAATAAGCACGATAAAGACCAAAGAGGAGGGTGATGAAAAATGGCCAAAAGACATTCTACCTACCCCTGGGAGTGTCAATCCTTTGAGACAGCTGAGTGTTGGGCAGGGCAAAGAAGGAAAGAGAGGAGAGATGAAAGTGAAGGAGACTAACAACCTTCAGCCCAGGTTCTATACATTTCCCTCTGCCATTTAAGATGAACTCTGAATGACTTGATCTGGTGGGAGGGGTATGGGGCTCCTTTGCTACTACCTATCTGCAGTAGTAATTCTCCCTCTGAGTTGCTTCACGGGTTCTTTTAAAAAGAATATTGGTGGCATGGGCATTCTAATAATGTCAAACCACACTGATTTTCCTCTTCTTTGTATTTTAGTGCAATTCACAGCACCAATTCGTAAGTATTGAATTTGTTTCTCCACTTTGGTTCCTTTCACTTCTTACCCTCAAGGCCTTAAGTATTGACCTACCCTGTTTTCTTGATACCATGTTTCTCAACTTCCCTAGCATTCCTATTACACAGATTTCAAAGAAGCTATGCATGAAATAGACAGACTGCAAAGCCCACGGGCTAACATAAGAAAAGAGAAAAGGACCCTCTTAATAGCAGCCATAATGCCCTGGCAGTAGGGAAGGTTCACTTTTCAAGTAACAGTAAGCCCCTAATGAAATGAGAAAGAGAGAGAGAGAGAGAGAGAGAGAGAGAGAGAGAGGAAATTTTTTAAAGGAGACATTATAAATTAGTATGGAATGAGTCTATCCCAATCCTCTAAAGGTTTCAAACATCACTGAAAACAAGGCTGGTGGAGGGGGTGGTCTATTCCTATAAATCCCTTATATTGTACAACAGGGAGCTTATTCAAAGATTGCCAGGCAAACAACCCCAGATGTTCCTAGGGTTTCTACTTATGACACTCCCTCTAGAGTAAGTTTTGGGGAATGGCTATTTCCTTCACAGTGATGAAGCATACTGATTTTCTCCCTCTCTGTTTCTCAGCTGGCGGTACAGGACCTATCAGTAAGTTTACTGTCTGATTCTTCACTGTAAAGAATTTTAATTTCCTGCAATATCTTAGGGACCTTTCCTTGAATCCCATGTTGGGATTTCAGGGGTTTGTGGGTCCACATTTTCTTGGCCTTTTTTGTTTTCTTCTACCTAGCATTTCCATTAAGTCATTAATAATCATGTGAATGTACACTCCACCACTAAACACAAACTGTAAAGTGGAGGATGAACCCTTAAAGGTTTCCAGTGGCTTATCAACATCAGCAAGGGATTTTTAAAAACAGAGTGAAATGAAAAGAAGTGAAATAATAGGAGAGAGGAAGAAAATTAAGTTTAAACAGAGAAGGATTTTTCCAACCATCTACAGGGGTTTCAATGGGCCAAAGTGGGGTCCCCTACTTAGTACCTTTGCTACTTACCCTCTCAGTGGATGCATTAGGTAAAGAGGCCCTTATATATATTAGATTGTCTTAGCATCTTAGCAAAAAAACAAACAACAACAACAAAAAACACCTCAACTTCCCTACTACCCCACTGCAGCTGAGCCCAAATTTAGTGGTACAGATTCTTACCAGGAAAAGCATATAAATGAGAACTATGGCCTCCAGAGCCCAAGAGCACCTACTAACTTATTCTCTCTTTTCTTTTATTTATTTATTTTTTAGAGCTGTCTCAAAAAACCATTGGTAAGTCACCTAAACCTCAATTACAATGCCTTTTGGTCCTTTACAATGTTTAGAATGTCAGTCAATTTCTATTTCAATGACTCGTGCTCACAAACCCCAGGATCAAGTGTTTCTACTGTCTCATTATCCCACTCAGAATTCCCAGAGGTTAGATTCAACCAGGTTCTTCAATAGAAAGATATTAACTATGAAGCTGAAATACAATATCAAAAAATAACCCCCTAGGAATGGTCTTTTCTAAGTTATCTAATCTAGCTTTACTACCAACCAGTAATAAAGATTTAGAACAAGTACCTAAACTTCTTGCTTTTCCTGCAAATAATTTGTTACTAGATTATGTTCAAAATAATGCAAATCTTAAATTCTTTTTATTTCTAATTGCTCTGAAAAGTTCTCTCCAGGACACATGGGTTTATTGTCACCAATTTTTAGCAACTTACCCTATTGCATTTTTCCACAGAAACATTATAAATAATAGGTTCCAAGATATAGTCGTTCATAATTACATATTTTTAAACTAAGAGCAAATAGTTATATCTTCACACACTGGATTACAGTATTCCTAATAAAAATTAGGAATTTTTGAAATTAGAAAAGTAAAGAAATATGATTTGAGGTTCCCCACATTCACCTGACAGAATGAATATAAGTCCTGTATAGGTACCTGGTCATTCTTTGCATGATTCCTTCAGGAATTTGTGAGTCATCCTTGCACAGGGGCCATGCTAATCTTCTCTGTACCACTCCAATTTTTGTATATGTGCTGCTGAAGTGAGCACTTTGTGATTCCTGTAATGGCTTACAGTTTTTCTACCCCTCACATGCATTATTTTGTTGGGCCTACCAACATTTCAATGGTGGTACATAAAGCAGATATTATACCCATCTTTAGAGATGGAAAAATTGTTTCCCGTAAAAATTTGTTTACTCCCAAATAAGGGGAGGAGGACAATTAATAATGAAGTTAGGACTGAAGTTGTGCTGACTCTTAGTTGAGTTGTTTCCACTACTATTTTGAGTGCTCTAATAGGTTATTAGCAAGAGAAACCATGAACTTCTAATATTAGAAACCAGGGACACAAAGACTTATGGGGAGAGGAAGTGAGACAATGCAACAAAAATAACACACAGACAATGAAGATGTTAAAAAGACAAAAATCAAAAGAAATTTGAAAAGAACAAAAGTAGGAAGAATACTGGAAGAAGAAAGATTAAGTGAGTTGGAGGCAGGAGAAGAGTAAATATAAATAAAACTGAAAAAGAGAAGAAAAGGAAAGCTACAAGGACTCACAAACTAAAAAAAAAAAAAAAAGTAAGAAAATATAGGAAAACTGAAGAAACAAATAAAATTTGAAATGATTTTCTCTCCAAAGATTTTAGTGGCTTATACCAAAGGCAGGTGTCCTAGGAGTTTTATTCCAGGATCAAGGGCAATTTTTTTTTCAATATATGAAATTTATTGTCAAATTGGTTTCCATACAACACCCAGTGCTCATCCCAAAAGGTGAAGGGCAATTTTTTTATAGATACAGTCAAAGCCAACAAATTATTTTTGCAAAGTAACCTAAATTTCTAGCTTGTCTACAACTCATAGCCCAGGACATCCATAACTGGTAAGACACCTTCTAGCTTTTTCACCTAGAAAAAAATATATCAAAATTAAAGGTTTAGGGGTATATGGGTCAGAACTGAGATATTTTTCATCATGAGTGCCATGAAGCTATGGAGGAGAAAGACAATGAAACACCCACTGGGAAGACGGGTGGTCTATTTAGAAAAAATATTTAACCTGCAATAAACCATGCAGACTCACAAGATGATCCCAGTCCTCACCTGGCACCAGGCTACTCAGCAGAACTTAAGGCAGGAAGCACAGCTTGCCACCAAGGCAGCATCAGCCATCCCTCTTTTGTGGCAGTAGTCCTCAAAGCTGTCTATGCAGGGGTCTACAGAGCCACCCAGCAACTATTCTCTTTGGCTGTCCATAGCTATGTACAGGAGCTGCCCTGACTTAGAAGCCCCGGGAGCTAAAATATCCTGTAAAAACTCCACATATATAAACTGCAGGGATCCTACAAGGAACATGCCCAAATACATGGTCACTACACTCAGGGAAGCCCAAAGATACGACCTTCTAACAGGTATTTATAGTTCTCCCAGTTCACAAGCAGTTTACCAACCAAGGATCATTCTTAAAGAAAAGGAATGTTACAAGTAAGACAGTAGGTGTAATCAGAGCTGGAAAATCAACCGAAGGCCAAATTCTCATTAAAAAGTGAAGGTGTTGTTGACCCTTTCTTTGCCCAGAGACACTCAAGCTAATCAAAGCGATAGTCAATAAGCTGAAAGCTATCCACCTTCACACCTACCCTAGAGCATATTAGTTGGTCAGAAATATTTTAGTACAAGTATGGTGCAGTCCACTTAAAAAGTAGTATCTTCTGTTACTGACAAGAAAGAAAAGTGTAAAGTTTCAAACTTTAATGTCTTGAACCTCTCCTAGGTTGACAAGGATTCTAGAGAGACCCTCATCTCAGGCAATATAGGCTAAATATCTCTTTTGTTGTATAGTTATCATAACCGGTTTAGTTCTCCCTAATGTTCTAATTCTGTTATCACTTCCTCTCCCTTACTCTACCTTCCAAAGCCCCATCCCTAGAATAAAATTAAAAATTTATTCTTCAAACACCCACACTAATATGTCAATTTGGATCTCTTTTTAGTGCAAACTCCAGGACCTATTGGTAAGTTGCCTATTTATATATAACAATTCATATATATCACTCAAATTCATAATAGCATAACATTTTTCTAGTAATGATTATAGTAGCTTGTCTATAATCATCAGAAGAATATTCCAAAGCAAAGGTGCAATAGAGAGAATCTGGGGGAGGACATAAGAAATGAGAAAGAAGACAAAAGAAGGACAGCCAAGAGAGTGAAAAAAAAAGTGACATGAGAGAAAAAAGATGGGGAAAAGCAGAAGGAAAGGAATACAATAAAGATTTTACTTCAAACACCTGTAGTAGTCAAGGGCAAGAATGAAGTGGTTCTCCTTCCAATTAAAACAGCGTTACAAGTCTCCTAGAATAAGATCTGATTTTTATGGAGAGGATATAGTCCAATAAAAATATTTAATCCCGAAGACTGAGATTTAGTAATTCTGGGACATTATTTAACTGTCCCCTTTGGAAAACATCAATAGTATGTGTGTTTATCATGTTCAACAACCACAGTAATTTATGTTTGTTTCTATTTTTAGTGCAATATACTGGGCCCAATGGTAAGTCCCTTATCTATCTTTTTCCTCTGGTGTACTCTGATCTTCTACAGTGTATAGAGGGCCTATCTCCAGTCCCAAATGTAACCATTACCATAAGGATAGTGTGTTTTTAGGCATGTTTCCATGCATCCCAGTTTCCACTTGCTGAGAATTCTCCAGGGTTATTTTTTTTTAAAGAAAAAAGTAAGAACATTTCCCCAGTAATGGTCAGAATGGCTTCCATAACAATACAGAATTTTCTAAAGTAAGAGAAAGAATAAGAGTAGCTTTCCATTTCTGAAGCGCTTTGTAGTTCATAAAGGGCCTATCAAACACAACAGAGATAATATAAAGAAAATGAAAAAAGGAAAGCAAATTTTAAAAACAAATGTAGAAGACGGAAAAAACAAATTTAAATAAACTGAGGTCTGATCAGGTTTCCTCCTCGTTTCCTAGGAAAGGTGTACCAGGGAATACTACTAAGGATCCTACGTACCTTGAGTTCTCCAACCTTCTCTCTCAATGCCATTTTCCTCATGTCCTATCCTGTCCACTTGCCCCAAATACCCAACACACACACACACACACACACACACACACACACACACACACAGCTTCAGGGAACAGGATATGACAGGAGGTGGGCTGCCAACTACAGGAACTGGCAGATGCGTCAGGTATTCACAAACCATAAGTGAAAGTGAAAGGTAAACTCATATTGTGACTAGCTAGGGCAAAAACAGTGTCAATTTCTAGAATATCAAAACAAACTTTGGTTCATTGGGAATTCTGAGTCTGGAAATTAAGTGATAACATTCCAGAGTGTAAGCTGAACAAGAACATTATCAGAAGGCAAGTCAGATGTACTCAAACATTCCTTCAACTAGGTGAGCTCTTGTATCAGAAACTGAGCTGAGGCCTAGAGACAAAGTCATGAATAAAAAAGAGAAAGATTTGGCTGATCTCTTGCGACATGGAGTTTACAGTCCTATAAGACACCTTAAGGAAAGGAACTCAAAACATGGAGAGGGCAGGCAGTCTCCCACACAACCACACTATGACCACTAAAACTGGATGCTGCCTGCTCTAAACACTGGTTCTAAATACCTTCCTGTTATAAATGAACATAACCCATCAACTATTCTCCTAAATCAGGGTTTCCTTTCTCAGTACTCTTAATTATCACCAAGACTTACAGCCTTAGAAGTTCTCAAAGGGGCGCCTGGGTGGCTCAGTCAGTTAAGCGTCTGACTTGGGCTCAGGTCATGATTTCACAGCCTGTGAGTTCAAGCCCCGTGTCAGGCTCTATGCTGTCAGTTCGGAGCCTGGAGCCTGCTTCGGATTCTGTATCTCCCTTTCTCTCTGCCCTTCCCCATTCATGCTCTGTCTCTCTCTGTCTCGCAAAAAAATGAATAAATGTTAAAAAAATTTTTTTTTAAAGTTCTCATAATTCTTATAAAGGAGAAACCATAAGCCAGCTCACCTCAGAGGACCTCACTGAGGCTAAAGGAAGGGTTTCATCTGGCCCAAAGTCCCCCAAATAACTACCATGTGCCTGAGAATCTATATGGGTACATGGATTCCCTTTCCCTTTTCTTTCCTGCATAATTCCCTCTCCCCTATGTATAAACACTTAAAACAAAGAGTAATATATAAATGAAAATTATACTTCTACATTTATTCATTCCTAGCTTTCCCTTAAATTACAGGTCATTTGGAGAAAATGAAAAATGCACTGATTATTTTTTTTAATGAACAAAAATGAGTGCTTCAGATGGGAGTAGTAAAAAAAGAAAGGAGTGGGAAGAAAACTTTTCAGATCAACTAAACAGTTAGGTAGGAAAAAGAGATAAATGAAAATGAAAATGACAAAAGTGCACAGAAGTACAAATTTAAGACATTATGAACCCCTAGAAAGTTCAAGCATTTACCACCCCAGAAAGGAATGGAATGGAAGGAGCACAGCCACTCTCCTGCCCCAGACCAGCAGAAGGAAGCCTGAGGATGCAAAGCACAGAGGTGGGAGCTTAGGTCCAGACATCACAATGAGCTAACAGGCAGGTTTTACAGCTCCCTGCATCCTCTCTACAGTTACCCTTTTTAAGCCCATCATAGGAGAACTGAGTTCACTTAGTTCTACACACACTAATTTCTCTCTTTTCTTTCCCTTCCATTTTTCCACCAGTGGAAACTTCAGAAATGACCAGTAAGTTCCATACCTGCTCCTATATAATAGTTTCCTTTGGCTTCCTACAGGGTCTGCAATCCTTTACTTCTGTCTCATAGGTAAAGACTTTCAGGTTTCTCCATCATTTGCTTATTCCACTACCTAGCTGCACCCCCACCCAAGGAATGAATGAATTAAGGGGAATACAGGGGCGCCTGGGTGGCTCAGTCGGTTAAGCATCCGACTTCGGCTCAGGTCATGATCTCGCGGTTCATGAGTTCAAGCCCCGCGTCAGGCTCTGTGCTGATGGCTCAGAGCCTGGATCCTGTTTCAGATTCTGTGTCTTCCTCTCTCTCAGACCCTCCCCCGTTCATGCTCTGTCTCTCTCTGCCTCAAAAATAAATAAACGTTAAAAAATTAAAAAAAAAAAAAAGAAGGGGAATACAAACCCCACTTAATAATCCAAACTACTGTGAATAATATATATATGTATAAATAAAAAAATCGGATGAAAATATCTGAAGTTTATTATGACTTGTCAACAAAGGAGGGAGGACATTTGTACGAGTGTGTGGATATGTGAAAGTTTACACAGGATAGCAGAAATAGGGAGAAGAAAAGTAAAAACAGCAGTTTAAATTACCAATCCCCTGTAGGATTTTAAGCAGTTACCAGTCACTGCAAAGGGGAAGAGAAAAATCATCCCCCTTTCCCGAAGCCTCTCAGACTAAGCAGGAGGCAGAATCCCACAAGGCATGATGGCAGCTGTGTTCCCCAGCACTGTGCACTGCAATACCTATAAGGGTTTGATGCTCCCTCCGTGAGCATTTCTGATATTCCCTCTCAGAAAACTAGCAGAAAACTAATTTCAGCAGCCTTTCCTCACTAACTTCTCTCTTTGTTTTTCAGCTACAGAATCCTCTTGTAAGTCTCCTTTCATGATGGAACTCAATTACCTCCAGCAGTGTCTAACAGACCTACTTGAACAAAAATGTGTCCATCCACATTGGGATCGCAATAGTTTAAAGCTCCTATTTCCTTGACCCCTATTTTTCCATTACTCAGAATTCCACTAGGTTATTAATAAGTTTCTAAAATGTTCACTGAGTCACATAACAATTAAAGAACAGAGAAAAAAGTTTCTCCATGGCTCTAAAGACTGTCAGGGACCCTCTCTATATAGAAGGAGAAAAAAATGAACAGGGAAAACAAAGATACAGATAATATTTCTGTTTACCAGCTGGGTCACCTATTCAAGCAGTTAGTAAGTTGTATATTTGTTTCTTTGCTGTGCACTTATCAAAGTCCAGTGATATATATTAAAACTTGAGTTCAAGTATAGGAACTTTAAACTCATTTTCTTAGCTTTTGCTTCTCCGTTAACCAGAATTCCACCAGCTGATTTTAAGTTTTCTGGAAAGTTCAGATATGCCTGGTCAGAAAACCTTTTCAAGCAGTTACATCACTAGAAAATTTACCAATTTCTACATCACTAGAAAAAAATGAATAGGACAGTAAATGAGGAGGGTGCAATAAGAAATCTTTCTGCTTATTTTTCAGTGGAATCAACTCCTCACACAAACAGTAAGTCTTGTGTTTTCATTTAATTCTGTCACAGGGTTCAATTGGTTTCTAGTGAGGTCCAAGACCTCTTTATCTGGACATGATGGTATGCGAAGGGCTTGAGGTAACTCTTGGCCCCTTGCTTCCCTCATTGTCAAAGTCCCTCTGGGTTATTAATGATGTACTAGAAAGTTCTAACACTACTGATTTATATAAATATAAAGAGGAAAGAAAAAAAGTTTTGCTTCGTTACAAAGACCATCAATGAGAGGCGATCTACAGAAAAGGAAAAAATGATGTAAGAAGAACAGTTTTTCATTTGGAAATGAAAATTTTATGATTTACATACAAAATAAAGATCAGAGGGGAACATTTCCCAGAAGTTAAAAATGACATGTTATAAGGGACTTGACAAATTGAAAAACTGAATGAGGAAAAAAAGAAAAGGAGATAACAATTTTCTCTGTTCTGTTTTCCAGAGGGAGCGGTTCCACCTGCCCTCAGTAAGTCTTTCCATGTTTCCTCCACTGTGGGGTCCTGTAACTTCTTTCTCTGACAATGTTGCATTTCTGGACATGGGTACATACTTCCTAAACTACTTGCCTTCCCGTCGCCAAATCCCATGGTTATTAATGCTTTTTGGAAAGTTCAAATCCTGCGGATTTATATTAACAGTAAATGAAGGCCAAAGGGTACATTGTCCCTATTGTTATAATGACCTAGTGAACAAGAACTCTCTACACAGAGAGGAAAAAAAACAGTGAGAGAGAAAAGGCTTGTAAAGATACTTCTCTTTCAGCTGGTCCACCACCTTCAGTGCACAGTGGTAAGTTCAGTCTGTTCTTTTACTGTTTTCTGTTGTTGTTGTTCTTTATGAGGCCTATGAACCTGTAATTACCCTACTCATTTCTCATCCCTGTGCAGCCACCTGAGACTCATAGTTCTCATCTTCCTTTGCTTTCTGCTTATCCTGTGAAGTAAACTTACATTTACTTAATATCAAGCATATGTTTACTTTGCATCTCCTCAGTGATAAGAACTACATAGGTGCTTTAACTACTACATGATATCCCATTCAATCCTTGGGGTAAATCAATTGATCTCTTTGTAATGGCTAAGAGACCGAAGCCACATACTTGCCTAAGAACACGCTCACTGAACAACAGTTGGAACCAAGAGCTGTGTGACTACCAAACTTCTTCACCACACAAATATGCTTCCCTAGAAAGATACTTGTTCCTTTCAAACAATTATTCACTGATATCTAATTTGTTTTTTAAGGTTTGCCCTTGGCACCAATAAGTAAGTATTATATTTGTTTCTCTACTATAGTTCTCTGTGCGGTCTTCTTCAAAGTCTAAGGAACTTTGTTCTGTTAAAGTGATTTGAGTTTCTCACTGCTCTTGCATTCTGGGTAATAAGCTATTACCCAGCTTCCCCCTATAGTATAGATAATTTAAGAAAATACTGATTAAAAGAAAAGGAGTATAGTAGCATTGGTTGACAACAACAAAAACCTAAAAAATATTAAAAACCCTGAAAAAAAATACCAGAGGTAGGCAAAACGTTTGAGACAGGAAGTCCAAAAGGATGTTTAAATGGAGAGAGATTTTTGAGTGTTCCCTCAAAGTATGCTTTCTCGTATGTCTACCCAAGTCCTCCCCTCAGAGACACCAGTGGAATATATTAGATAATACTATGTTTTCTCTATTTAAGAAAAATTGATATTTTTTTTTGCTTTTTTTTAGTGATTTCACAAAGAACCTCAAGTAAGTTCTTTACTTCTCAGCCTGTCAAATATAAGACCTTTTCTGAGCACAGATATTATATTTTTAAAGTGCACCAAGGATTGAGATTCATGTTTCCATACTTTTTGCTTTCATATTACCCACAGGCCTCCCAATTAGAACTGCAAGACAATCTTTTCGATTCATAACTGTAGGAGTTCCCATTACTTCAGTTATTAAATCAACTTCCCAGGAAACCGATACCAACAGTGACTCAATATTTAAACCAGATCAAGTACTGACAACAAGGTGGTATTTAACATAGAAGTCGCCTTTAACACTATGTCCTACATTCTATAATTCAAATCTGGTCCTCATATCTATGTTACAAATGATTTTCATATAATACCAATATCCCTTGGGGTTCCTCAGACTGGAATTAAGTCACATTAATATTAAAACCCCAAGATTTAATTCAGACTAATATTCAGATGCCAACAGAGCCCAGGCAGATAATGAAAATGAATAGGTGAGGAACACCACCTGGGAATAGTGGAAAGATCATGTACAGTCTAAAGAGGGTGGCTGCTGCTCAGCTCCAGCCAGTTTCTCCACACAAGAACACATATCTAGAGCATTTGAAATTTTTCAATAATGTCAGGACACATTTGGAACTGTTAACATAGACATTCTACACATTCTTTCTGAGTCCTGAGCAAGGAAGATGACCAGCTAAACAGTCTCACTGACAAATGAAAATACTGAGTCCATGGAGTCAATGATGCAGACCCAAGGATGAGGTTGGAAACCTCAGATGTCCATGTTTGAGAACAGACCCTACAACTGTGAACATTTGAGTTCAGCAGAAGGGATTATTGGTTTCGCAGCCAGAAATTATAATCCAGAAGCTAAACTGAAATAATTTAGTGTCTTTTTTCAGTGGAGGCACCAGAAAGGGTCGAAGGAAAGAGTTTTAAAATCCAAAACCCAAGGGATCGGGAGAGGGAAAGGCACTAAAGGATAGTGCCTTCTTTATGGCTGTCTTGGTCTTGGCTGCTATGTATTTTTATTATTAAAAGTACACAGCAGAGCTTAAGCATAAAAAGAGGTCCTATGGGGTAGAATGATTTCCAAGGGGGCAGAAACTGAATAGGAAAACATTGTAAGGAGAAACTAACATTAAGTTCTTGGCATTTTGTTGAGAAAATTTAAATAGGAAAAAAAGGAAAAACACAAATGTAGGAATAAAAAAGGAACTTACCTACATACACAGTAAAAATTTTTTAATCATAAAAGAATACACTAAAAAACTCTATGGGAATACATTAAAAACAAAATTACCAATTAAAAAAATACATGAATTACCAAAACTGACTCAAAGAAATATAAAACCCCCAAATTATCCATAATTAGAAAATAAAATGAACAGTGAGTCAAAAAAACTTTCACCTAAAAAGCCCCAAACAAGATAGTTTTACAGGGAAGGACTTTCAAGGAACAAATTTTCAAGGAACAAATCATTCCTCTATTTGGAACTGTTCCAAAGAATACAAAAGAAATGAAACTCACTTCAACTCATTTTATGATGTTGTTATTCCTTAATTTCAAAGCAAGGCAAAGATTGTAAGAAAAAAAATGCATAGACATATTTTACTTAGAAACACAGATACAAATTTCCTAAATAAACAGTGCAATGTTACACCGATCATAAACACAGTGATACAGAATTTATTTTTAATGCCTCATAACTATGATAGAAATTATAGAAAATTTATCAATAAATTCACTAAATTCATGGATAAAAAAGAAAATGTATGATCATTTATAAAAATAAAGAAAAATTATTGTATAAAATTCAACACAGAATCCTAACCAGAATTCTTTTTGGAAGAAATAAAAACTTAAAAGGGAATAGATAAGAACTTCTTTAATCTAATTAAGGAGATCTATTCCTTTATCATTCTTAAGGATCCTAAAAAACAAGGGGTGCCTAGGTGGCTCAGTTGGTTAAGCATCTGACTCTAGATTTTGGCTCAGGTCATGATCTCCCGGTTTGTTGGATCAAGCCCCATGTCAGGCTCTGTGTTGTCAGCTTGGGATTCTCTCTCTCCCTATCTCTCTGCCCCATTCCTGCTCTTTCTCTCTCAAAATAAATAAATATATAACAAAAAGAATTCTAAGAAATAAAATTTTAGAAGCATTGCCACTCAAGTCAAAATCAATAACAAGATGACGACTACCAATTTATACCAGCCTGTGCAATAAAATAAAGGCAAAAGATATAAAGACACAAAGGGAGAAATTCATCATTATTTTCAGATTATGATTATCTGCATAAAAACTACAAAAAATGAACAAACTACTAATACTTAATATGAAGTCAGCAAAGTTGCTACATAACAAAACAGCAAACAAAACTTAAAACATTGTTTATGCCAGCAATAGCAATTCAGAAAACAGAATTTAAAAACAAAATTATACCAATCACTAAAGAAGCATAATAAAAATCTCCTAAGAATAAACTTCTAAAAAATGTGTTGTCTTATAGAGAGAGCATGACAAATATTGAGAAAGCAAACTGAACCCCTTGTTTTTTAACCTAGCCAGGTCAGTCATTTTGCCTGAGCACTTGACATTACAGAAGATGAAAAAATTTTATATCCTGAGATAAACTGAGAGATAAATATGGGGAGGTAAGAAAAGTAGGGGAAGGGAAAGAAGGAGGAAGTAAGGAAGAAGGAAAAAAGGGAGGGACAGAAGAGAGGCCATCCATCCAACTGGTCTTGTCTACTCTTAAATAGCTCAGTTTAGCACAAGGACCTAAAATAAAACTTTAAGCCCATTTGCTCTATACTGCTGCTGTTATGCCCAGAATTCGTGATCCCCAAAGACCACTAGGGAGCCGAGTCCGATGCAAAAGCAAAGAGCCTTTATTCGAGCTAGCTCGAGCCCAATCCCCTACCTGCACCGACGCAGCGGTGAGATACCAGGGAAAGAGAGCGAGTTTCAAAAGGACAAAGGTTTTATTGGGGCCTGGGGGCAGTTGGTGAGGTAATGGCTGTGGCCTCAGCCAACTGGCTGGGGAAGGGTCCTGGGGAAGGGTCCGAGTCCTGTTAGGCAGGTGAGGGGGGGTTACTCAAGGGGAGGAGGTGTGGTAAGGTGAATGACACAGAACAAGATGGAGTTGGCTGGCGTAGGCCCGCCCTTTCACTGCCTCCCTAATGGAAATAATTTTAGTGCTGACTTTAACAATGTCAATACATATAGATGGGTAGTGACCTTTGTCAATATATAATTATAATGCAGAATTCATTTATTTGCTAATGATAACAATGAGAAAGCTGACTATAACTTTGTAGATTATTCCCCTTATATTCCTGCTGTATCTTTTATTATGTGAGCAGTTCTTCTGAATCAAGTCTCCCTCCAAGCATTGCAACTTGAAAGAAAGAAAGAAGAGAAAGCTATTTCTAGGCATTCACTTTGCCTCTAGCTTTTGACAATACCTTTAAAAGACATAATATAAGACCTGAAAATAGATAAACTATTTTAAAAGACAGGGAAATTCAAGAACATATAAATGTTAATTCTCCCCCCAACTAATTTGTAATTCAATAAATTCAAATAAAATCACCAACAGGATTTTTTGTGCATCTTGACAAATCCATTCTATAATTCATATAAAAGAGAAAAACAATCCAAGAATAAATAACATATTTATAAACATGAAGTTCCCAAGAGGGAAGGCTCACCCTAGGTATTTCATTTGATTATCAAGTCATTTAAAACACTATAGTGATTGAATGCATCTGGTCTTAGCATAAGAATAAACTAATCAGTGGGGGTATACTAACCAGTGGGGGTAAAGGAGAGTGACATCAGCAAAATGGCAGCAATGAAATTTCTAGCACATGTCTCTCCAGAAACAGCAATGTGAACAATTATCCACACATGAGAATACCTTCAAGAAGCCAAGGATTCCAGATGAGGGACTACAGCACCTGGGTAAAGTACAGAAATAAGACCCACTGAGGAAGGAAGGAGAGACAGATTCACGTTATTCACATCACCTCTCTTTCATGCACAGGCAGCCCAGCAGAGAGGGAGACACCTATGGGAGGAGAGTCCTCAGGTCCTCAGCTCACTCTGGCACACACTAACGAACTCCTATGGCATCAAGCTCCTGATAAACTCCCATGAATCAGACTCCCCACACACCCCAGCACTGGTGAGCTCTTGTGGCCTGAGACTCCAGGACAGCCTTATCACTGGGCCATTTCCCTTCGACCCCAGCTGCCACACCCAGTCCCGTGAAACCAGGCTCCAAGCCCATTCCTGTACTGGACCAACATCCACGGACTAAGACGCTAGGCATAACTCAATGGTTACCAATGCCTGATTGGTAGCTATGGACACAGGATCTAGATCTGCCCATGTTGACCCAGGTCACAGTCCCTTCATCACATTCAAGGACCAGGCCCAGGCTTGCTCCCACAGACCCAGGTACCAGGCTGGTCTCCATGTACCCAAAAACAGGCTTACCTATCTGCTGACCCATGAACCAGATCTGCTTTCCTGAAAACTCTAGCAGCAAGTCTGCTCATGGCATCACAAGCAGGCCTACCCAGAATCTCTTAATGGCCTGAATGGTGGAGTTTTGCTGCCAAATCCATTCTGTAAAGACTGGAAGTGGTGCCTACTCCCTCAAATACATAGACACCAAAACAAGGCCACAACAATCATTAATCAAGAAAACATGACTCCATCAAAGGAAACTAAAGAAATGACAATCTATGTACTATTTGACAAAACATTCAGAATAACCATCTTAAAGAAATTCAGTGGACTATAGAATAGACAACTACTGAAAATAAGAAAACAATGCATAAACAAAGTGAGAAATTCAACAAAGTAATAGAAACCATTTTTAAAAAAACAACTTGGAGCTGAAGAAAAAATTGAACTGAAGAATTCAATACAGAGGCTCCGTAAGAATTCAGCCAAGTAGAAGGTAGAAGAGTGAACTAAAAGACAGGTCATTTGAAATCATCCAGTCAGAAGAGCAAAAAAAAAAAAAAAATGAAAACTAGTGAAGAAAGCCCACCTGAATTACTTACAGGACACAAAAGAAACAATCTGCACATTCTTGGAGTCTCAGAAAAAGAGGGGGAAAAGAGCAGAAAGCTTATTTAGAGAAATAATGACATAAAACTTCCCAATCTGGGAAGAAATTTCGAAATCCAAATTCATGAAGCTAGTTAGTCACCTCAAAATTTCAACCCAAAACATTCTTGTCCAAGGCACATTATTTACAGATATCTAAAATCAATACTAAGAATTTTATTTAATTTTAAACTATGATGGCTTTATTTTTTTAAGTTTATTTATTTATTTTTGAGAGAGAGAGAGAAAGAAAGAGAGAGCAAGGGAGGGTCAGAGAGAGAGTAGAGGGAGAATCCCAAGCAGGATATGCACCACCAGCACAGAGCCCGCTGTGGGGCTCAAACCCATGAACCATGAGCCTGTACCAGTTGGATGTTCAACTGGCTGAGCCACCTAGGCACCCCAATCTAAGAATTTTAAAAGCAGCGAGAGAAAAAAATGGAATCCTCCTAAGGCTTTCAATTAATTTCTCAGCAGAAATCTTTCAGGCCAGGAAAGTAGATTGATATATTCAAAGTGCTAAAAGGAAAACACTGCAAACCAGAATACACAGCAAAGTTGCCTTTTAGGAATGAAGAAGAGAGAAAGACTCTCAAACAAACAAAAATGAAGGAGTTCATCACTACTATATATGACTTACAAGAAATTCTGAAAGGAATCCTTCGGGGTGAAATGAAATGCTACTTATTAGTAATACTAAAATATAAGACACTCTGATAAAGTTAAACATGTAGCCAAATTCAGAATATTCTATTACTAATACATTGTGGTGTGTTAATCGCTTAAATCTAGTATAAAGTTTTAAAGGATAAAAGTATTAAAGTAACTAGCTACAATAATTCGTTATGGGTATGCAATATGAAGAAGTTAATTATGATATCAAAAACATAAACTATAGGAGAAAATAAAAAGAGTTTTGTACAGGATTGAAAATATCAGCTTAAAATAGAATGCTATAAAATGTTTTATGTAAGCCTCATGATAACCACAAGGCAAAACCCTACAGTATATTCATAAAAGATAAAGAGAAGGGGGATCAAATCATACCACTTGGGAAAATTTTCCATTCACAAAGAAAGACAGCAAAAGAGGAATACAGAAATAAGGGGCTTAAAAAAAAAACAGCCAAAAAACCAGTAAGATGGCATTAGTAAATCCTTACCTATCAATATTTACCCTAAATATAATTAGATTAAATTCCTCAATAAAGAAGCAGAAATGATTAAAAAAATAAGACCCAAGTATATGCTACTTATAAGAAACTCACTTCACCTTTAAGGATACACTTAGGCTTACAGTGAAAGATGACAAAAGACATTACATGCATGAGGAAATGAAAAGAGAACAGAGAGGTAGCTGTACCTCTATCAGACAAAATAGACTTTAAACAAAGACTATAACAAGAGACAAAGAAGTTCGTTATATAATTATAAAGTGATCAATTCTTCAAAAGGATATAACAATTATAAATATATATGCACCAAACTTTGGAGTAGCTAAATATATTCAGCAACTATTAACAGATATTAAGCAAATACTAACAGGGAGAAATTGACAATAATACTATAATAGTAGGGGACTTCAACACCTCACTTTCAAAGTGGAAAGATCATACACAGACTGAAAATCAATAAGGAAACACTGGATTTGAAATAATATCTTAGACTAATGAACCCAACAAACATATACAAAACATTCCACCCAACAGCTGAATAAACATTCTTCTCAAGTGCACACATATATTCTCCAGATATATAGGTCACATCTTAGATCACAATTTAAGGCTTAGCAAACACAGAACACTGAATCATATCAAATACCTTTTCCAGCCAAAATGCTATGAAACTAGAAATCAACACTAAGGAGAAAACAAGAAAATTCACAAATGTGTGGACATTAAACAACAGGCTGCTGAATAAACAATGGGTCACAGAAGAAATTGAAAGGCAAACCAAAAAATATCATAAGACAAAAAGTAGAAAAACAACATATCAAAATTTATGAGATGCAGCAAAAGCAGTTCTCAGGGGGAAGTTTCATAATGAAAAACACCTATGTTAAGAAAACAACCCACAAACAACCTAACTTTCCACCTCAAAGAATTACAGAAAGAACAAACTAAGCCAAACTTAGCAGAAGGGAAGAAATACTAAAGATTAAGATCAGAAATAAATGAAATAAAGACCAGAAAAACAATAGAGAAGACCAAGGAAACTAAGAGCTATTTTTCTGAGAAAATAAACAAAATTGACAAACTATTAGCTAGAATAAGTGAAAAAGACTCAAAATCAGAAATGAAACAGGACCATTACAACTGAAACCACAGAAACACAAAGATTATAAAAGACTACTATGAATATTTATATGTCAACAACTGGATAACCTAGCAGAGGTGGATGTTACTAGAACCATACAACCCACCAAGACTGAAACAGGAAGTAATAACATTTGAACAGACCAATAATGTGTAAGGAAACTGAAGCAGTAATCAAAACCTCCCAACAGGGGCGCCTGGGTGGCGCAGTCGGTTAAGCGTCCGACTTCAGCCAGGTCACGATCTCGCGCTCCGTGAGTTCGAGCCCCGCGTCAGGCTCTGGGCTGATGGCTCAGAGCCTGGAGCCTGTTTCCGATTCTGTGTCTCCCTCTCTCTCTGCCCCTCCCCCGTTCATGCTCTGTCTCTCTCTGTCCCAAAAATAAATAAACGTTGAAAAAAAAAAAAAAAAAAAAACCTCCCAACAAAGAAATGCCCAACACCTGATTGTTTCATTGGTCAATTACATCAAACACTTAAAAAGAGGTGACACTAATCTCTCTCAAATTCTTTCCCAAAAGATGAAGTGTAGGAACACTCTCAAATTTTATGAGGCCAGCATTAACCTCACAACAAAGCCAAATGAAGCCACTATAATAAAAGAAAACTATAAACCAATATCCCTGATAAAAAAGATGCAAAAAATCTAAACAAAATACTAGGAAACTAAATTCACCATCACATTTATAAGATCATACACCATGATAAGGTAGGATTTACCCCTAGGATATAAGGATGGCTCAACACATACAAACCAATAAATGTGATACATCACATTAATAGAATGAAAGATAAAAATCATATGACCATCTCAAGAAATGCAAAATAAAAAAAAAGCATTGGATGAAATTCACCATCCTTTCATAATAAAAATTCTCAGCAAATTCGATGTAGAAGAAATATACCTCAACATAATAAAGGCCATATAGGAAAAACCGCAAATAACAACATACTCCATAGTAAAAGGTTGAAAGCTTTTCCTCTAATATCAGGAATAGGGCAAGAGTGCCCACTGTCACCACTCCTATTCAGTGTAGTGCTGGAAGTCCTGGCCAGAGTGATTAGCTAAGGATAAGAAATTGAAGGCATTCAAATTGGAAAGGAAGAAGCAAAACTGTCTTGCATGTATAGGATATGATTTTATATACAGAAAACCTTAAAGACTCCACTGAAAATCTGTTAAAACTAATAAACTCAGTAAAGTTGCTGGATACAAAATAAACACACAAAATCAGTTGCATTTCTATACACTAACAATGCAACATCTGGAAAAAATGAAAGAATCCATTTACAATAGCATCAAAAACAATAAAATACTCAGGGATAAGTTTAAGCAAGAATGTCAAAGATCTGTTCTAAAAATTACAGGATGCTGATGAAAGAACTTGAAGAGGACATAAATATATGGAAAAATATCATGTGTTCACACACTAGAAGAATTAATATTGTTAAAAGTCCATACTACCCAAAGCCATTTATAGAGTCAATGCAATTCCTATCAATTTTCCAATGGCAATCTTCCCAAAAAGAGAAAATACAATTCTAAAATTTGTATGGTACCACAAAAGACTGTGAATAACCAAAGCAATCCTGAGTAAGAAGAACAAAGCTGAAAGGCATCACATCTCCTGATTTGAAACACTGTTACAAAGCTATAGTAATCAAAACAGTATGTTGTGGCATAAAACACTGACCAGTGGAATAGAATTGAGAGCCCAGAAATAAACCCGGTCATATACAGCTATCTAATACTTGACAAGAGAGCCAAGAATATTCAAAAGCAAAAGGATAGTCTCTTCAATAAATGGTGCTGGGAAAACAACATATCCACATGCAAACTAGACTCCTATCTTACCCCATTTGCAAAAATAAACTCAAAATTGATAAGAACAAACACTGTAAAATTATTAGGAGAAAATCAAGGGAAAAACTCCTTAACATAGACAAAATAAAAAGGTGTAAATACACCAAACTAAAAGGCTACTGCATAGCAAAAGAAACAATCTGCAAAATGAAAAGGCAACTTATAGAATTAGAAAAAAAAATACCTGCAACCCCCCTAGTTGATAACAGATTCATTTCATTCATATATCTCATGTATTATATAGAAATCAACTCAATAGCAAAAATTCTGATTTAAAAATGAGTAGCAGAATTGAATTGAGATTTTTTCAGAGAAAACATACAATGGCTATGCTAGCAGGTACATGAAAAGATGTTCAACATCACTGAGATGCAAATCAAAAGTACAATGAGATATCACCTCACATCTGTTATAATGGCTATTATGGTAAAGAAAAGAAACAAGTGTTAGTGAGGTTATGGAGAAAAGGGAACCTTGTCCACTGTTGGTAGTTCACACTATGAGGTTCCTAGAAAATTAAAAACAGAACTACAATATGATCCAGCAATCCTATATCCAAATATATATCTGAAGGAAATAAAATCATTATCTCAAAGAGATATCTGTACCCTTATGTTCACTGCATGTGGTACTGTAAGGGTCATTTACAATAGCTAAGACATGGAAACAATCTCAGTGTCCATCAACAGATGAATGGGTACATATATATATACCATTTATGATACCATTATAAATTTTAGAATTGTGGTCTATGCGCACACACACACACACACACACACACACACACACACACACACACAGAAAAATTATTCAGCCATTAAAAAAGGATATCCTGCCTTTTGTGACATGGATGGACCTTGAGGGCATTATGCTAAGTGAGATAAGCAGACAGAAAAAGACAAATACTATATGTTCTCATTTATATGTGGAATCCAAAAAAGCTGAATTCAGAAGTAGAGAGTAGAATAATGGTTGCCAGAGGCTGGAGTGTGGTTGGAGAAATAGGGAGATGGTGGTCAAAGGGTACAAACTTCCAGCTGTAAGATGAATAAGTTCTGGAGATCTAATGTACAGCATGGTCACCAAAGTTAACATTACTGTACTGTATACTTGAAAATTGTTGAGATCTTAAATGTTATCACCACACACACACACACACACACACACACACACACACAAAGGGTAATTATGTGAGGGACTAGAAGTGTTAACCTTATTGTGGTAATCTTACCACAATGTGTATGTGTATTAAGCCACCACATTGTACACCTTAAACCTACATGTTTATATGTCAATAATATCTCAGTGAAGCTGGAAAAAAAATCAGTGAGACAAAATCAAAAACCCAGAGATAGATCCTTATTGTATGAGAAAGTTGAGCTCATAACAGATGAAGAATTCAATAATTAGTCTCAGGTCAAAAGATGTTCTACCTCATACTTTCCTAAAGTAAATCCAGCTGAATTAAATACCTAAATATCTATTACCATTTAAGAAAACACAATAGAATTGATATATGACTCAGATAGGAAGGAGGCTTCCTTCTAAAATACCCAGAAAAAAAGGTAAAATAAATGTTGACTAACAAAAACTCAAAACTTCTTATGGACCAAACACAGTACAAACAAAGTTAAAAGACAAGAGGGAGTTGGTTGAGAGAAAATTTTTGCAGTGTGCATAGTTATCAATGTTACACAGCATTAAGAATATAAATAAAATCCCACAATCGGTAAGAAAAATAAATTACATGACTTAAGGACAAGAATAAACAGTTCACAAAATAGGGAAATTGAATGCCTAATAAACATAAATTGCCAAATTTCATTAATGATCAAAAATACAACATGAAAATGAGATATTGCTTTTCTCAAAATATACTGGCCAAAATTTTAAAGCTTGACAAGATCAAACATTATTGAGATATGTGGTTAAGTGTCAACTCTCTCTGAACAGCAATTTGTCAATATCTAAATTAAATCTAAAGCATACTCTGAATTCTACTTCTGGGTATAAACACTAAAGTCATACATATGTACATAAAATGTCACGTACAAAGATGTTTGCTGTGACTTTTTAATAATCAAAAGTCAAAAATAAATTAACATATGTATGCTGATAGGATAATACACAGCAGCTTAAAATGAACTAACTACGTATCTATGTGTATATAAGCAACATCTCAAATCATAGTGTTGAATGAAACAAACCAGATGCAAAATGACATCTCTTGATACAAAATGATACTAAAAGATGACACGCAAATTAAAGCAAAAATATTCAAACCCACCATATTCCTTAAGTATCCACATATATATGAAAGTACCTTTAAAAATAATTGGATATACATTGAACTCATAATTGAGGGAAGAAAATGAACCTGGGGTTGGTGATTCAAAGGAATTTTATCCATCCCTGTATTATTTTCTTTCTTAGAAGAAAAGTTGGGAACAAATATGACAAATGTTACATGATAGGTAGTATGATTATTGATTCCTGAGGTATTATTATTTTTTACAATATCTCAAAGAGAAGGCAGGTCATCATGAAAAAGCCACTGATCTTCAGAGTGCCTCAGGGTGCTGGGTCCAAGAAAAATAAAATTTTCATACTCTGCACTGATACTTATAACCTGAGTTCCAAAACAGCACAGATTGAGTTCAGTCTCATAACACTACTTCAGTGAAATTGCTGCTTACTCAACTGTAAACAAGAACACACACACACACACACACACACACACACACACACACACACACATTCTTACACACTCAAGGAACAGTTTTCACCATTAGCACAATCCAAGTTCATACATAGAAAACAATAATCTAGAAGCGCCTGGGTGGCTCAATAGGTTAAGCATCCTACTTCAGCTTAGGTCATGATCTCATGGCTTGTGGATTCGAGCCCCGCATCAGGCTCTGTGCTGACAGCTCAGAGCCTGGAGCCTGCATCAGATTCTGTGTATCCCTCTCTCTCTGTCCCTCTCCTGCTCATGCTCTCTCTCAAAAATAAACAAACATTTAAAAAATTTTTAAAAAGAAAGAAAGAAAACAATAATCTTCTTTGTGGGTTTTCCATTCTTACACGTAGTTTGATTACTTGGAGTCATAGTGTATCAGATATCTCCTTTTCAAATCTCACTTTGTCATGTGATCTCTGCTTTGTTTTTTTTTCATACGTGGCCCTTTTAATGATTTCCTAGAAAAAAAGAACAAGCTGCCCCAAACGTGTATTATTTCAACTCTTGCTAGATTTAAAACAAAAAACAAAAAAACAAAAACATAACTTTGAACTTATTGTTCCTGGTCTGATTAAGTTTTCAAAATCTTACAGCTAAAAACCTTCCAGGGCTTAGGCACAAAACGTCATACGATCACCCCTCTCCCACAGTCTCTTCTGCTCACCCTCATACATCTTATAGCAGAGATCACTGTGTGCCTTCAAATACCCCATACCTGTTTCACCTGCAAGGCACAGAACCTTCTTAATGGGTGCTTGAAGAGAACAGAGGGAAAGGGGGAGCAACCTGATGCTGGCTACAGTAGGGAGAATTTCTTCCTTGATTCAGCAAAGATTTGTTAAGTGTCTGCTCTCTCAGAGACCATGCTGAGTGTGGGGTTTGATGAAGAGAAGATAGAACCTGCTCTCATAGAAGGGAGTGACAGTATGGGCAAACCAAGTAAGGAACAATGGCGAGGACTGCAGAGATGGAGAATGTGGGTAGAGATTAGAAAAGAAAAATGACAGAGGAAGAGAAAGAAAGTAACTCAATTAAAATAGGTTGGGATACGACACATTTCCTGATTTCACACAATCAGAGACCTAGAGGGGAAAGGGAAAAGTGAGCTCCGTCACTGGCTCTGTATCCTTCCTTCCAGAACATTCCCAAGGCAAATGCCCCTTGTCACTACTGTTCAGTGTGTGATGCTTCCACTGGAATGACATCAGTGAAAATGTGTTTCTGTTTCATCAGACAACCACACTAATTTGTTTGTCTTTTTTTTTATTAAAGCAAGACCCGAGAAATCTAAGAGTAAGTCCCATGTTTCTCTCAATTATATTATTATCATTGGTGTTTTATGGTATGTAGAGGCTCTTTTGTGTCCTGTTTTTAGTGTGAATCTACCAAAATTTAAGATTTATATTCCTGCCTCTGGTTTTATTAATATTTCCAGCATTCTTTGTCTTCTAGCTTCTTGTTTTCTTATTCCTATTTCCAGTAACTTGTTCCATTTTCAACTATCCATGTCCATTTGGAGGCTATAATTAAAATTGGTACTTAATATGGTGGTAGTATAATAATAAATAATACTTATTCAGTAATTACAGTGTGTCGGGGACTTTATTCAGGGCCTTATATGTGCGTATACATTATATCAGATAAGTATTGTTATTCCTATTACAAACAGAAGAAAATAGTGAAACTAAGTAACTTGCCCATGATCCCACAATTAATGAGCAGCAGAGGCTGGGAATCTAATCTGGACTCTAAAAGTCTGGCAGTGCCTCCATCTCAGTGAGAAATATGGTCACCCAGCCCTAAGATACTTATGCTTACAGGGAAAAGAGAAACCTTTCTAAAATGAACATAATGAACAGTAATTAGCCAAAAAGAATCACAGTAATGATCAAGATAAACCAACACAATCATCCCAAAGAAATGATGGGAAGAGAGGAATAATAATAAAACAAAGTGTAAGTGAGAAAAATCTTACCCGTCAATGGGTTTTTCAAAATGCTTATTTAGGGGCGCCTGGGTGGCTCAGTCAGTTAAGAGTCCGACTTCGGCTCAGGTCATAATCTCGCGGTCCGTGGGTTCGAGCCCTGCATCGGGCTCTGTGCTGACCGCTCAGAGCCTGGAGCCTGTTTCAGATTCTGTGTCTCCCTCTCTCTCTGACCCTCCCCCGTTCATGCTCTGTCTCTCTCTGTCTCAAAAATAAATAAACGTTAAAAAAAAATATTTATGTTTTGAGGAGGGGAGGTTCAGAGAGAGAAAGAGAGAGAGAATCACAAGCAGGTTCCACACTGTCAGTGCAGAGCCTGAGGCGGGGGCTTTAACTCACAAACCATGAGATCAAGACCTGAGCTGAAAATCAGAGTCGGATGCTAAATTGACAGAGCCACATGGGCACCCGCCCCATCAGTCAATGTTTTTTTGAGAGTTTGAATTAGCAGACAGAAACCAAAAGGAAGAAATAGCATCTCCCAATGATTCCATTCTTAACCTTTCTTTCCAAAAAGGCACTCAAATTAAGAAAGACTGGGGCAGAGTGATCTGAAAGATACTTATTCTCGCATCATAGTGAATTGATTCTAAATACAGATTTGGTAGTTTCTCAAAGTCCTATTTCTAAAACTTCCAGCATAAAGTTTAAGAAGTAACTCCATTGTTCATCCAGAAACCTTTCACTCATTTATTTATTTGATTTTTTTTTTTCCCACAGAAAGACAAGAATACCCAAGTAAGTTCTATATCTATTCATCAATTCTGGGGTTGGTTCCCATACCTGTTATGTCCTTTTCTGGACATGAAAGACCCTGACATTCAAAATTTTGAAGTTTGTCTCTCCTGTTTTTGTATTAAATAACTTCCTCTAAAGTAAATGATGAATACTTTAGAAAGAAAAAAACCCATAGATGGCAGATCAAATAATGAAATGGCTAATGCTGACCTGGAATTAGAAATAATACTTCTGAACATTTTTAGTAAATTGTCACCTATAGAAAAATATTCTAGGGGCGCCTGGGTGGCGCAGTCGGTTAAGCGTCTGACTTCAGCCAGGTCACGATCTCGCGGTCCGTGAGTTCGAGCCCCGCGTCGGGCTCTGGGCTGATGGCTCGGAGCCTGGAGCCTGTTTCCGATTCTGTGTCTCCCTCTCTCTCTGCTCCTCCCCTGTTCATGCTCTGTCTCTCTCTGTCCCAAAAATAAATAAACGTTGAAAAAAAAATTAAAAAAAAAATATTCTAGTTGTTACTACTTTCACTACTAGAGTCTTTAAATGCTTTTGGTAGCAAATTTAATGACAGAAATAAAACTGAGTTGCAAAGTTAAATTGAGATCTTACTCACTCAAATATGTATATATTTATTGAGGGCCTACCCTGTGCCAGGCACTGGGAATACAGCAGGGGGAAGAGAAGAGAATAACTAACCTCCTGGAGTTTGCATATGAATTTAAACATTCCTGACATGCTTCTTATTCAGTGAAGTTGAGGAGAATATAAAGAAAAAGTAGTTCATTTCTCTCCACTTCTAAAAATGGAGCTCTTGCATCTGACAAATAATGCTTTGGTAATAAAAGAGAGTATACTTCTGTCTTCACCCATTGAACAGTACCAATGACAGCCATGTTCTCTGTATCCACTTTAAGACACTGCAATTCTAAGAAACTCCCTTTCTGTTTGATATTTCTGTTATGCACTCACTGTGGGTATTTTTCCTAAACGTGGCTGTTTCCATTTCAAAAGAAAGATTGACATTTCTATTTCTCACACCCTCTCCTCAGAATTCTACTGGAATATTTATCATTTTTCACAAAACACAAACCACAGATTGGTGGAAAAATCAATCATGTTGATTTTTTTTCCTAGTAAGCTAAAATGTCCTACCTAAAGCAAGACTTGACATGCTTAACACTCATGATAAGGACATAACAGAATCATAAACTATTGCCTGAGGAGGGAGGCAGGAAAAGTAGGATTTATCCTCATTTCTGACTGGCTGGAGCTGCTCCTGTGCACTGATCTTTGCTTACACCTCAACCAACATTTTGTCTCTTGGATTACTGAATAATGTCTGGAAAATGAAACTGATAAAAAGAAATAATTAAGAGTGAGATGAAAATCTCTTCGGATTGACTCTACTTTTCAACAAAATACATTTTCAACTAAATATAAGGTATAAATGACGGAGAAAAGTGGGAAAACTCAGAGTAAGCAAATGAAAGAAGGGAGTAGAATGAAAATGAAAGCAAAAATATGTAGAAAATAAGGCTTTTCCAGCTCTGTGGTATTCAATTTCCAAAAGAAACTGGATGATAAAAGGAAAACCAGTCAGTTCCTTGCCACTCTTTCAAAATGACTATGTTACTGGAAAAGAGAGACTAAGATAACTCATGTGAAAGGCTAGAGTTTGCTTTCCCTTTTTCATTCTAGAAATTCCCATCTGGAAACAGTATCAGTAAGATTAATGTCAATGTAAATTTTGTTATCAATATCAACCTATCCTAATAACTTGTGTTTGGATTTTAGCATATGTAGCAGTACCTATCAATAAGTTCTGTTTCTCTTCCTAAATCTGGTACAAGATGGGTTCCCAAAATAAGGAGAAAATTTTTTCTAACTGACCATTTCCATTCAATTCTTGTGTTTATAAATATTTCCTCTCCCTCTTGGCAACCTACTAGGTTATTACTCAATAGAAAGAATAAACATTTAACTAAGAGACTATAAAAGAAACAAATTTTGTTTTCTAAAACCAATTTCAAATAGCTTTTAATAACACATAAAAGGAAAGATACATAAGGTGGAATATCACAAATGTGGAAATACCAACAAGGGGCAGAGGAAAAATCAGGAAGATATCTTAGGTGTAAAAAGGAAAAAGAGTAATGATAATTAGCATTCAAATTTACAATTTAACAGTCCTCTGTGGGATTTAAATCCTGCATACTAGGTGATAAAGAAAAAGAATGACCTAAGGACATGTATTCTAGCCTACTCTGCCTTTCTACTAAAATGAAATATAAGAAAGCCAGTTACATGAGAATGAAACTATTCCTGTAACAGAAAAGAAATACTAATCCCTCTTATTTCATTACGGATGTTTTTACTGGGGGATTTGGCCGTCTTCCAAACATCTATTTGCTAATATCTTGGGAAAAGAAAAAAAGGAAACTATATTCTTGATCCAAAAACTCTGCTAATATATTTTTGTTTCATATTATTCTGCCAGTTACTCCAATACCTATTGGTAAGTGATCATTCACCTATTTCTTAATTCCAGTGTCTTTTAGAAAAATTTCCTTTAAGTAAAGGATTTCACATTCACATTCTCAACCCCCTTTATATCCCCATTATGTAGTACCTCTTTAAGTTACAGATGAATTTAGAAACTATAGTATGCCCAATGTTTAGATAGATAGATAGATAGATAGATGAATATCAAAACACTGAGGTAGTATTTCTCAGCTAATAAAAAGAAAATTTTAAATATGATAAGCAATGACAGCAATGCTTTGGGAAAAATTACACATTCATCATACACCACTGACCCCATTTAAATTTCTGTAACCTTTTAGAAAGCAAACTTTCAGTATGTTGCAAGGTACAATGAAATACAGTTTCCCTTAAACTCATAATTCCATTTCAAGAGAGATGCTCTAAGGAATAATTCTAAATATGGAATAAAACCATTTGCATGATATTATTTGTTTGGGGGGTTTTGCATGATATTAATTAGTAAAAATTATTTTTTTAACAATTATTTGCATGATATTAATCTGTAAAAAAAAATGCTAAGGTAATATACTGCAATGGTTAATCAGGTAATCAGATGGACCTAGTTTCAAATCCCAACTAAAACACTTAACCAGATATGTGCTTTGGGTGAATTATTTAATTTCTCTAAAGCTTTAATTTGTGTTATCTCTAGTTATCTTCCCTCAGGCAAAAGAGAAAGGGCATGAAAGTTGAAAGCTAAGTTCAAATGTGGCAACACCTGATTCCTTCCTCCTACTAGTGCTTCAAAGTGTCTACTTTAGCATACTTTTCAGTGGATGATTTTCAAGAGAAACACTTTTTCAAAACTCACCCGCGAATGTGTAATTTTTTTCCCAATCTCCTAAGAATTGTGTATATTTCCCTATCCTTATCTATATCACCTAAAATAGACTTAAAGTTTTTATGTTCTAGTTACTGAAGGATGATGACCTCACCAACCCAATTAGGCAGAGAGACTATATTACTTTTTGAAAAAAATTGTTTAATGTTTATCTATTTTTGAGAGAGAAAGAGACAGAGTGCAGGCATGGGAGGGGCAGAGAGAAAGGGAGACACAGAATCCCAAGCAGGCTCCAGGCTCTGAGCTGTTAGCACCAGAGTCCTACGAGGGGCTCAAACTCACGAGCCATGAGATCATGACCTGAGCTGAAGTCGGACGCTTAACCGACTGAGCCACCCAGGCGCCCCATGTTACTCTTCTAAAATAATCCTTCCAAAGAGGACCTATTTGTCTTTTTTTAATTAAGGTTTTTTTTTAAATTATCAACTTTTTATTTATTATTTTCTTATTTTATCTATTATTTATTTATACTATTACTTAAGTATTATTTATTAAGGTTTTTTTCTTTATTAATCTTTCCAAAGAGGACCTATTTTTTTTTCTCTATTAAGGTACATTGACACACAATGTTACATTAGTTTCAAGTGTACAACACAGTGATTGGAAAATTCTATACATTATGCTACCATCTGTCACAATATCATTGACTATGTTCCCTATGCTGTATATTTTTATGTGTTTGATGGAGGATTGTGAAGTACCTCTAGTAGTTTTAGCCCTTTATTTGGGAGTCATAAAGAGCCTCAAAGTTGAAATAAGCTGGTGCAATCGCTTTAAGTATTGTGAAAGAGCTGGGTATTTTTATCAGATTATATAACATTTGCCCATTCTTACTATTTTTAAGAGCACTAGAATTAAGACAAATTCTGTTCAAGACACTAGGTGGAGGTATGACTCTGACTTGGATAAAACTTTCTGTATAAACTCACCAGCTGCCTATCTCTCAGCAGCTTTCCATATTCCCTCCACCTCAAAAAAAGCCAGCCATTTTATCTAATGACTGTATTTCAACTCTTTTCTAAATGACCTATAAGCAAAGAATAAATTTTTAATTTATTGTAACAGTCTTTACAGTCACTATTAGCTTAAAACTCATAAGTAATGCTTATCAATAATTATACAAAATTAATATTTGATACTAACTGGAAACTAATATCTATTAATAACTCCTAATAGCATAACAATAATAGTTATTGCATGCCATCCCCCACCACTCTGCTGCAGTTTATACAAAGTTGGGGATATACTGATGCCTCCAGCTTTGCCCTTTGGCCTAAAGCTGACCGAACAAAACGATGGAACAGTGGATCTACTGTATTTCTTGGCAGCTTCCTTCTTAGGAAGGAGGACAGTTTCAGGAATTCTTTTCCTCATCTGCTATAAAGAATATGATTAGTTACTGAATTTTGGTGAGCTTAAATTTTGTGTTAGGTTGATTAGTTTTTTCCCCAAACCCACCAATACTGCTGCGTGGCAAGTCTAGCATCCTTTGGACTCCCACAGGGTTCAGGTTTCATGCTGCCATGGGCTGAAATCGCTTCTGTTAACGCAAACTTAAGTGGCATACTTTTCCATCTTCTCTTTGCTGTCAGATTTTTCTGCATTTCCTAAAATTACTGATTTTAAGTGAAAAATCTACTGATGCAAAGGATAAGGAGGACAGATATTATATGGACTTATTAAAAAAATAGAACAAATTTCCTAAAATAATAAGACTTTACTTCAGGTATTTTTTTAAGTATGACAAGGAATCAGTAAATAAAGGATGGACCTAGAATAATAATATTATGGAAAGTGAAGAACAGAACAAAGACATTATGAGATAAGAGATCGAAACAGGAAAGAAATAAATGAGTGAAATCTAAATAATCATTGCTAGCTCTTGTAGAGTTTTAAATTCACATAAAAACTGATAATGAAGAGCAGCTAAACTCGACTCCATTTTGCTGACACTAAAGATAACTACCTTGAAAGATTTAGGACTGTTAAAGAGGATCAGGAAATTGAAGCTTTGGAGATTTCTCACTTATGATAATAGTTATAATCCTTACTGTATCCTATTCTACACTTACTGTCTAACTCATTCTACTTTTTACTGTCTACTTCTTACTGTCTAACTCATTCTACTTCTGTTTTTTCTTAATTTAAATTTTAGTTAATGTAGAGTGCAATATTGGTTTCAGGAGTAGAATTCAACACCCAGTGCTCATCACAAGTGCCCTTCTTAGTACCCATCAGCCATCTAAGCCCATGCCCCACCCGCCTCCTTTCATCCTCCAGCCCCCTTCCACCCTCAGTTTTTTCTCTATTGTTAAGTCTCTTGTGGTTTGTTTCCCTCACTTTTCTTCCCCACGCCCTACTTCCCACAACTGTTTTGTTTCTTAAATTCCACATATGAGTGAAATCATATGGCATTTGTCTCTGATTGACTTAGTTTGCTTAGCATAATACATTCAAGTTCCATCCACGTTGTTACAAATGGCAAGAATTCATTCTTTTGGATGGCTGAGTAATACTCCATTGTACATACATGCCACATCTTCTTTATCCGTTCATCAGTTGATGGACATTTGGGCTCTCTCCAGAGTTTGGCTATTATTGATAATGCTGCTATAAATATTGGGGAGCATGTACCCCTTTTAATATGTATTTTTGTATCCTTTGGATAAATACCTAATACTGCAATTGCTGGATTGTACGGTAGCTGTATTTTTAGGTTTTTGAGGAACCTCCATACTATTCTCCAAAGTAGCTGCACTAGTTTGTATTCCCACCAGCAGTGCAAGAGGGTTCCCCTTTCTCTGCATCTTGCAAACACCTGTTGTTTCCTGTATTGTTAGTTTTAACCAATCTGACAGGTGTGAGGTGGTATCTCACTGTGGTTTTGATTTGTATTTCCCTGATGATAAGTCATGTTAAGCATCTTTTCATGTGTCTTGATGGCCATCTGTATGTCTTCTTTAGAAAAGTGTCTATTCATTTCTTCTGCCTATTTCTTAACTAGATTGTCTGGTTTTTGGGTGTTGAGTTTGAGAAGGTCTTTAGAGATTTTGGATACTAACCCTTTATCAGATATGTGGTTTTGCAAATATCTTCTATTCTGTAGGTTGCTTTTTAGTTTTATCGTTTCCTTTGCTGTGCAGAAGCATTTTAACTTGATGAAGTCCCAATAGGTCCATGTTTGCTTTTGTTTCCCTTGCCTTCAGCAACATGTCCAGTAAAAAGTTGCTCTGCTTGAGTTCAGAGAGGGTGCTGTTTTTGTTCTCCTCTAAGATTTTGATGGTTTCCTGTCTCACATTTAGGTCTTTCATCCATTTTGAATTTATTTTTGTGTATGGTATAAGAGAATGGTCCAGTCTCATTCTTCTGCATGTTGCTGTCCAGTTTTCCCAATGCCATTTGTTGAAGAGCCTGTTTCTTTTTCCATTGGATAAACTTTCCTGCTTTGTCAAAGATGAGTTGGCCATATAATTGTGGGTCCATTTCTGGGTTCTCTATTCTGTTCCATTGAACTATATAGGTCTGTTTTTGTGCCAGTATCATACTGTCTTGATGACTACAGCTTTGTAATAAAGTTTGAAATCTGGAATCGTGATGCCTCCAGTTTTGTTTTCCTTTTTCAGGACTGCTTTGGCTATTCAGCGTCTTTTGTGGTTCCATAAATTTTTGGATTGTTTGTTCTAGCTCTGCAAAAACTGCTGATGGTTTTTGTTAGGGATTGCATTAAATGTGTAGGTTGCTTTGGGTGATATAGACATTTTAACAATGTTTGTTCTTCCAATCCATGAGCATGGAATGTTTTTCCATTTCTTTGTCTTCAATTTCTTTCATAAGCGTTCTATAGTTTTCAGAGTACAGATCTGATTTTACCTCTTTTGTTACGTTTATTTCTAGGTATCTTATTATTTTGGTGCAATTGCAAATGGGATTGATTCCTTGATTTCTTTTTCTGCTGCCTCATTATTGGTGAATAGAAATGCAACAGATTTTTACATATTGATTTTTATATCCTATAACATTGCTGAATTTATGACTCATGCTACCTCTTAAAATGGATTTAGAATCTGGATTTAACCCTAGAGATTATCAGAAAGAAAAAAAAAAACAGAGATAAATGATCGTGAGAAAAGTTTTTAAATTGGTAGTTAAAATAATCTTTCTATACTGCAAAAAGGAATACAATGAAAGCTGACATGGTGATAGAGGTTTGCAAGGGAGATAAAATGTTGAAATACAGTGAAGAAGATGAAGAAGGAACTTTAGTAACCTTTAACTGGTAACCAGTCTCCTTCAAGGCTGTGACCCTTGGCATGGTTAAGAGTGTTTAAAAAAATATTTCGTTAAAAAAACTAAGTTTTACTCATATAATCCACCAAACAGGTATTCCAAAAAATTCTACCTATTTACATTATTAAACTGTAGCTAATATTGAATTAATAAGGGATAGCATATTTATGTAAGATTTAATGTTTCCCAATAGTCCTTTTCCAATATTCCAAGTAGATTTTCAATAGGAACTGAGTACATAATTTTAAAAACTAATAATGTATTTTATTTTCTTTTTTAGTAATTGGTCCAGTATCAGCTGGTAAGTTCCAATTGTCTTTCTCCATTTCCTCTGGTCCTCTGTAACATCTGGGTTGCTTTATTCACACTGATACTTTTGACACCTGGCCACTCTGAACCTGGAGAGTTAGATTATATTCCATCCCTTCTCCTCCATACTTTCTAATATTCCTTTAATTTACAAATTATTTGGGGGTAATGGGTGGTATAACAAAGTCCCAGAGAAGGGCAAGAACAAAGAAAAAAAGTTGTTCAGCTGGTTACACTATTAAGTTACAGAAGAGGAACAAAGGGAAACAATGTTCATAAAATATGTTGGGGTCAGATCACAGGAAAGACCATGGAAATAGCACACTAAGAAATTTATATTTCAATCTGAAACTTTATGGTCACAAAACAAAATCCAAAAGATGAAAAGTGGAAAACATATAATGAGAAGATAATGAAGTTCTCCTTCATAAAGTACCTAAATCTGAACCACCACTGCTGTTCAGAGAAAAAGGGTAAAGAGCAGTACTTCGAAAGCCTTTTCTGACTTCTCCTTGAAAGAATCTTTTGGGACTTGCCATTCATACCATTCAGGCAAACTACAAAAATTTGTGTTTCCATAAAAAAAAAACAAACACAAACCTATTGGTCTAAATGTACCAATTAAAAAACAAAGACTAACAAAACTCTTATAAATAGAACCAAAGAAAAACCAAATAAATAGCTATTCCATGTTCATGAATGAATAGGAAGACTCAATATTGTCAAGATATCAATTCTTCACAACTTAATCTATAGATTCAGTGCAATGCCATCAAAATCCCAGCAAGATATTTTTTGGATATTGGCAAACTGATTGTAAAATTTATGTGAAAAATCCAAAGACCCAGAACAGCCAATACAATGTTTAAGGAGAACAAAGTTGGAGGACTGATACTACTCTCCCTCAAGATTTACCTGATAAAGCTACAGTAATCCAGATAGTGTGGTACTGTTGAACACATAGACAACAGACAACAGTGGAACAGAACAGGCATCTCAGAAACAGTCCCACATAAATATAGTTAACTTTGACAAAGAAGCAAAGGCAATACTATGGAGCAAAGATATTCTTTTCAACAAATGATGTTAGGACAACTGGACATCCACTTAAAGAAAACAAGTATCTTCTCCCATACCTTACACTCTTCACAAAAATTACCTCAAAATGGATCACAGACCTAAATGTAAAACTTAAAACTATAACACTCCTAGAAAATAACATCAGAGAAAAGCCAGATAACTTTGGGTATGGTAATGGCTTTTTAGATATAATACCAAAAGCATGACTCACGAAAGAAATAATTGATAAGCTCAATAACTCAATAACTCAATAACATTAAGAACTTCTGAAGACAGACAATCTAATTTAAAAATGGGCAGAGGATTAACTAAATATTTTTCTAAAGAAGAGATACAGATGGCCAACAGATACATGAAAAGATGTTCAATGCCACTAATTATCAGGGAAACAAATCAAAACCACAATGAGATATCACCTTACACTTGTCAGAATGGCTAAAATCAAAACCACAAGAAATAACAAGTGTTGAGGATGTGGAAAAAAAGAAATCCTGCTGCACTATTGTAAGTTGTTTTGAACCGTGAAAAACAGTATGGAGTTTCCTCAAAAAATTAAAAGAAATATCATGTGATCCAATAATCTACCCAAAGGAAACAAAATATTAACTTGAAAAGGTATATGCACCCCTATGTTTATCACAGAATCATTTACAATAGTCAAGATACAGAAGTAACCTAAGTGATGATCAATAGACAAATGAACAAGAAAAAGGTGATATACAGAGAGAATATTATACAGCCACAAAAAGGATGTGATCATGCCATGTGCAACACCACGGTTAAACCTAGAAGATACTATGTTGAGTACATAATTTTAAAAAATAACAATGTCAAGTAAGTCAAAGAAGACAAATACCATATTATTTCACTTATATGGAGATTCTAAAAAAAAACAGAACAAATGAATAAACAAACAAAAGCAGAATCAGGCCTATAAATACAGAGAACAAACTAATGGTTGCTAGAGAGAAGTGGGGCTGGGGGGTGAAAAAAATGGGTGAAAGGGGTATGGGAGATATAGTCTTCCAGTTATGAAATGAATAAGTCACAGAGATAAAAGGTACAGCATAGGGAATACAATCAATGTTTCTGTAATAGTACTGTATGCTGATACAATTTAAAAAATACAATTTAAAAAAAAATACAACTTAAAAAGAAATTACAAATTTCTGTTACCAAACAATCCAGCAACCATGCTTCTTGGTATTTACCCAAAGAAGTTGAAAACCTATAACCACATGAAACCTACACACAGATGTTGACATCAACTTTATTCACAGTTGGTAAAAACTTGGAAGCACCTAAAGGTCCTTCAGTAGGTACATGGATAAATAAACTGTGGTACATCTGGAAAATGGATTGTTATTCAGTGCTAAAAAGAAAAGAGCTATCAAGTATAAAAGACACAGCAAAAACTTAAATGCATATTACCAGGTAAAAGAAGCCAATCTGAAAAAGCTACATACTATATGATTCCAATTACATGACATTCTGAAAAGGCAAAACTACTAGGACAATAAAAAGATCAGTGGTTGCCAGGTGGAGTAGAAGAATAAGGATGGATAAAGAGGCAGAGCACAGATTATTTTCAGGGCGGTAACAATACTCTGTATGATATTATAATAATGTATACATGTTACTATATATTTATGCAAACACACAGAATGTACAACACCAAGAGTAAACCATAATGCAAACTATGGAGTTTGAATGATCACTATGTGTCAATATAGGTTGATTAATTGTGACAAATGTACCACTCTAGTGGGAGACAATAATGGGGAGGCTGTGCAATTGCATGTGGGCAGGGGGCATATGGGAAATCTCTATACCATCCTCTTAATATTGCTGTTAACCTAAAAGTGTTCTAAAAAAGTAATCGCTTTTAAAAAATTATCAGAGCAGATTTAAAAAACTGACCCAACTCAACCCTCCAAAAAATGAATAATCCAATTAAAAAATGGACAGAAGACATAGACATTTTTCCAAAGACACACACATGAAAAGATGGTCAACATCACTCATCGTCAGGGGAATGCAAATCAAAATCACAATGAGGTATCACCTCACACCTGTCAGAATGGCTATAATCAACAACACAAGAAACAATAGATGTTGGCACAGATGTGGAGAAAGGGGAACCCTCTTGCACTGTTGGTGGGAATGCAAACTGATGCAGCCACTATGGAAAACTGTATGTTAAAGTTAAAAATTAACTTTAAATTAAAAACAGTTAAAAACAGAACTACCCTACAGTCCAGTAATCGCACTACTGGGTATTTATTCAAAGGATACAAAGACACTAATTCAAGTGGATATATGCACCTCTATGTTTATAGCAACACTATAATTATGGAAACAGCCCAAGTAACCATCAATTGATGAATGAATGCATAAAGAAGATATGTATGTTTACACACACACACACACACACACACACACACACTGAAATATTACTCAACCATAAAAAAGAATGAAATCTTGCTATTTGCAAGGACATGGATGGAGCTAGTGTATTATGCTAAATGAAATAAGTCACAGAAAGACAAATACCTTATGATTTCACTGATATGCAGAATTTAAGAAACAAAACAAATGAGCAAAGGGACAAAAAAAGAGACAGAGGCAAACCAAGAAACAGATTTTTTTAAAAAATATTTACTTATGTTTGAGAGAGCGCAAGCAGGGCAGGGGCAGAGAGAGAGGGGGGGACAGAAGATCCAAAGGAAGCTCTGCACTGACAGGCTAACAGCTAATGAGCCCAACGTGGGGCTGGAACTCACAAACCGTGAGATCATGACCTGAGCTGAAGTCAGATGCTCAACCGACTGAGCTACCCAGGTGCCCCCAAAATAGATTCTTAACTATAGAGAACAAACTGATGGTTACCAGAGGAGAAGTGGGTGGGGGCACTGGTTATATAGGTAATGGAGATTAAGGAGGGCACTTGGGGATTAAGGCACTTACATTACATTAAAACTTCTAAAAATAAGTAAAATAAATAAAATTTTAAAATTTAATAAAATAAATCAAAATTTAAAAATGACCCAGCTATATGCTATCTGTAAGAAACTCCAAATTTTACAATAAAGAGAAAATGACAGAAAATGTATACAATGGAAGCATTAATTTTTTTAAAAGCAAGAGGAGCTATATTAATATCACATAAAGTAGACCTCAGAGTAAAAATTTACCAGAAACAAGAAGGGATATTACATAATGATTTTAAAAAATCCAACAAGAAGACCTAGAAATCCCAAATGTGTATGCACAAAACAAGACAGCTTCAAAATATATGGAAGAAAAAACTGATAGAACTGAAAAGAGAAAGAGAAAAAACTCAGTTATAGCTGGGAAATTCAATACCCCATTCTCAGCAATTGATAAAACTACCATATAGAACATGAAAGAAGTGAGAGGATCAGCCATGTGGATATCTGAGTGGAGAATAATTTAGGCAGAGAGGACAAGGAGTAAACCAGTCTGGAGTAGGAATGTTTTTAGACTATTTGAGGGATAGCAAGAAAGCAAGGGTGGCTGGTACAGAATAAAATAATACAATGAAGATAAGCTATTAGTGAGTTATAGGGGACAGATCTTCCAGTATTTTCTTCTGAGAGGTGCTGTAATGGCTTTGACTGTGAATCAAGAAAGATGGAAAGTTATAAGTGAATCATAATCACAGGGGTGACATGAATCTTAAAAGGATCCCTGTGGCTGCTATATTGGGACTCACTGGAAGGCAAGGGTGAAATCAAAGCAATCAGAGAGATGAAAGTAACTTGGATCACAGTGACAGTCATAAAGGTAGTGAGTAGTAGCAGGTTCTTACATCATACTGAGGGATCTGCTGTCCTACTAAAGCACTGTATCCTGCTAGGAGTCTTGAATGGTACTTAGAACAAAGAATTA